TTTTTTACAGCCTCTCTCCTGGCAGGTCTGCCCACTGCCAGAATGAAACTTTCCTGGCTTCAGGGGTGACTCACGGGGCACACCTCAGTCAGTGTCCAGCACCCATGCCTCCTGCACATGGTCATCGCTCACTGTTTATGTTTTGAACTAAGTAATAGTGTCCCATTCTCACCTCCGTGTGGAGATCTCATCTCTGCATGCAGAGGGAAGAAAGTGTCCAACTCAAAATGGGCTTAGAGAAGCTGGCCAAGGTTGGGCGGTTGAGGAAAATGATCTCAAGGTGAGCAAACTGGGCTCTGGATAAACCCAGGTCTCTCACACATGGACCTACTGTGTGACTTGGAACTCAGAGAATCATCCTGGTTCCCAAGCATTTGGCTTGCTGCCCTGAGATAGCACCTCTACCCCTGAGCACTGCTGAGGGGGCCAGGCCCATACCTGCCCAGCATGACACAAGCTGTACAGCTATTGTGCCCTGTGCTTTGCTGGAGACGGTGCCCACCACTCTCCACTGATGACAATGACACAAGAAGGTACAGACAGCCTTCTTGTCCATGAGTTCTAAAAGATTATAGATTATAATCTTAAATCAGAAGTCAGAAGAGAAACTGAGTCTCCCGGTAACCTGGCGTGTGATCCCAGGAAAGCCTCTTCCTCTCTCAATCATGGTTTCCTCTCTGAGAGAAGTTACATGTAATATCTACTCTGCACATCTCATAAAATACCGTGACATCAAGATCCATGTTATATGGTGAAAATGCTCTGAAAATTCAGTTCTAGAAAGATCACTTTCTTCTTCTTATACAAAAGGCACACAGTAATCTAACAAAAAAATCCTTCACTTGGGTTCGAACCCCAAACTTGCTGCCAAATAACCACAAGATCCAGCAGGGCCAGCTCCTGTTGTTGGATGATTGTAAAAGTCACAACAGTAGCACAGAATTATTTGGAGGTGTGAGAAGAGCAAGTGTGGACGCAGAGCACGGTCCAGATGCACCAGATGAGGACTGCCACACTCTGCCCCTCTGAGGTGGCCGCAGTCTAGCAGGACAGATGCCTTAATCCTATATATACTAGTATTGGACTGGTTGCTGACCAGTGCTCATCTTCCTCCTGAGATCACCCGCGTGGTACCCAGAGTGGACTTGGGAACCGCTAACAGCCCATCCCACCTGAAACCACCACCATTCATTGCAAAATCCGACTGTGCAAGTAGCAGCGGTGATCTCAGCTGACATCGCAAGGGGCTGCAGTGTCCCCAGTGACACATCAGATTTGCCTGGAGTTCTGTTGACCTCTGTGGCTGCTTTTCCAGTACTCACTCTCTTTCTTAGGCAGGGAGCAAGAGTTCACGGTGTGATGCTCTTCCTACCCACACCCACCTGTTAGAACCTCTGCTCTTGGGGCCATGTGTGTGTGTTCAGCCAAGTGAAGCTGAGGTCCAAGGACTGTGCCCTACACAGGCTATGGCACGCACCTACTGTTCTGTTGTATCTCCTGTTGCCTGTTGTATCTCCTCTTGGCTGCGTGGCTTTGGGTTGGAGGATTTTGATGGAGATATCACAAGACATGTCTTAAAATTAAATTGCCAGGAAAAACAAGAGCTGTTCTGTGGAATGTGAAACCTAGAATACTTTTTGTCATGTTGCTTTTGCCAGCTTTGCCCCCAGGGCTCTGTGTCCCACTGTGGACTGTTCCCCTAGTGCTTTGAGACCCCGTGACTCTGGAAAAGGCTGGAGAAGGAGCTGTCTTCCTGGTTGTTTAAGTCCTGGCTGAGAAGGTGCTGCTTGCAAATGTGGGGCTCCATTTCTGATCGCCAAACATATTAATAACTTACACGCCTCCTTCAGGTGGGGAAATAATTTTGTTTTGATGATTAGAAATAGTATTTCTTTGCAGATCCAGCCAGTGCAGCATCAGGATGGATGTGTTTGCTTGCTTGCCTTCTCTCTTGCTTTCTTTCTCTCTCTCACTTTCTTTCTCTCTCTCTTTTTCCTTCCTTCCTTCCTTCCTTCCTTCCTTCCTTCCTTCCTTCCTTCCTTCCTTCCTTCCTTCCTTCATGAGAGACAGGGAGAGGGAATCTCTTGATTATTATTTAGAAAAGCACTACATGTTGTATTTGGTACAGTTCACTTTGTGGACTTTCAGCTGTGATGCAGTTTGGGGGCTATGAATCCTCCAAGTGTTCTTTTACACTGTATGTGCTTAAGAGAGAGGCCCTGTTTTGAAGAGAGTGTTTGAAATGACCCAGCATTTGGAACGTCTGTCCGAAAGGCAGTTGATGCTGCAGCTTCCCCTCCTTTTGCAGTCCGAAGTTAGCTGCCATGCTGACTAGGAACAGGTGCTGGGGTCCCAGACTCCTGTGGATTTCCACAAGAAGATAGGGTTTGGGGACCAGGAACTGTATGGTCAAAATATGTCTTTAGAAAGTGAGCAATCACATGCTTTCTTTTATATAAGAAACCTAAAATTACATTAATAAAATTAAATATGAAAAGGGAAAGGACAGAAAAGTACTAGGAAGTCTTCTAGTAACAGGGAAAGGGGTTGGGGAGGAGGGAAGGTTGGGGGGGGGTGTGAAACTGATCAAAACAAGCCAGGCAATGTGCCACTGCACCACTGGGAAGGCCACTGTCACACTAATGAGAATAATGTGAGAGCCATGCTCTCTCCTACCTTGCATCAGACCCTTTGCTTCTGTCAATGCCCCGCTTTCACTGACTTGGAAAAAGAATGGATAACCATGGCTTGGTGTCAATGAACCAGGGAGAAAAATGCTTTCCTTGAAGCCCGAGTTCATAGGTTTAAGACAGATAATGGATTCTTAAAAAGCCGTGTGTCAGAATGTAATGTTTGCATCATAAAAATAGATATCTTGTTCACTTAGAAAAAAGCACACCCTGTATTTAAACAGCAATCTGTTTTTATCAGTTTAGACACACAAGAGTCAACTTTAAGCGATGTTCATTTCAGCTGAAAGAATTGAGAATAAAATGAAATGGCACCAAGAATTAGTCACGCTGTTGCTGGAATTTGGGGCGTAGGGTAAGACAGTCTTTCGGCTTTCAGTCCTCATCCTGTATCCAGGTGATCCTGGGCTGGCAGGGAGGGCAGGAAGCCACAGCTCTGGGAAGCAACAGGACTCTCAGGGACCACCTGCAGTCCCGTGGAGGTGTGGCCACATCTAGTGACTGATCACCCCATAGAAAGCACCCCAGCTCCTTTTCTCATAGATAGAAACACAGTAGTAATCAAAGAGCAATTCTAATAAGCATTAACCCTAACTATATTTAAAACTTAAAGCAAAATGATAATATAACAGGGTTTTGTTTTTCTCCAATGAATCACATTAAAATTGTAAGCAAACAGAATGACCTTCATTCTTGGTTCCCACAACTCAACCAATCACTCAACTCCCTGGTATTTTTTTGTTTGTTTGTTTGTTTTAATCAAACATTACTTGAATTTCTAAGTTGAAGCTTGTTGTGTATGTTATTTGTCAAATAGCTCGCAAGACTGATTTTAGTTAAGAATGAGAACACGTTGTGTGATGAGGATGTTAAATTTAAGCCAGAGCAGCTGTGACACAGGGGTGAGGGTCAGCGGGGGGGGGGGGGCTCTTGCTGATCCCCAGCACTAGAAAAAACAAAAACAAACAAGCGTGGGGCCATTCTCAGTTTTCAGAGAATAATGTCAACCCACTCATCCCATTCACCAGCTTTCATTCATCTGGTTGGTTTCATCCCAGCAGTAACTTCAGGCATCTCTTTAGCTTCCCTATGTGATTTTCATTCAGATGAATGAATTAAATTAGAGTAAAAAATGCCAGAATGTGCAGTTTACTGGAAACTGTGTCCATCATCTGTGATGCTGCTAAGTATATTTAAAAGTGATGAGCAGTAACGAAATCTCTCTGATCCTTTGTTTGACAACTGTGGATATACAGAAAGGCCTCACAATAACAGCCTGAAATTGGCCACATGAAATATTGCAATGTATCACTGGATTTCAACACAATTTCAGTGATTTTTGTAATCCAGTGTCATGAACATGACTAAAAAAAAAAAGCATTTTTCCTCGTCCATCTTTAAAATAATGGCATTGTTTGTTACTGAACTATGCATGTTTGAGTGAAGATTTCTTGGCTCAAATGATTAAATAGCAAACATCAAATTATCAAATCCTTGGAGCTGTGATAGCCTCCAACATGAAGACATCAAATATCCCCCAAAGATGATCTTGCTTAGGATGAAAAAGACTGAAATTGTTAGTATTTAATGCTAACATTTTATGGAGAATCATTTACATAGCACAGACCCTGACAGCGCCACCAAGAGCCCCTGAAGTCTCTCCTCTCCTCTTCCCCCCTCCCTGCTGTCTCCTTTCCTCTTCCTTTATTGAATATATTGTACTATCATGGGTCATGCTCTATCTGGTCCAGGTGTCAAGGAATGTGTTCACTTTTGACATCATTTCTGGTAGTCATTGCTCTAGCAGGCTCCTTTTAAAGGAAGTGCTGGTGACCTGTGAAAACACAGATGGGAGTGGGGAAGGAGGGAGAAGAGCACGTGTGTGGTGTATACTTGCCTTCCAAAGGTATTTGAAGGGTGAGCTTACCCACGGGAGCCCAAGCTCATTGACTGCTGAAGCCACCTACAGGACTCTCAGTCCTGCCCACCCCAAGAGAGGAACCTTCCTCTTCCCGAGTTCAGGCTGTTGCTTGTTATTGTCCGGCAGCCCAGCTGGAATCTGCCAGGGTGCTTCCTCCGGCAGGATGCCCATGTTAGGTGTGACGTGGGAGCTGATCGCGGTTGCCTCCAGTGTGGGCTGGCACTAATACCAGCAGTACCTGGTGCGTGGCCGGAGACATACAACACTGCTGCAGGCAGGGAGGTCTCAGCAGGCAGACGGGGACAGAGCCCATTTGCATGGGCTGTCAGAGTCATGGCACCATGAGGGCTTCTGGTTGGAGACATTTTGTGTTTTGTTTATTTTTATAGAAGCGAGAAGTTCAGCCATGTGGAAGGTAAAGACTTGTATCTTTTTATTGTGCTGCCTGGAGTTTCTTCTGCCCACAGGGTCCTGTCGAAAACTGTGCCAGGTAAGTGGAGGCTGAACTGGTGGGGACAGTGCATGGGCAGTGGATTCTGTGAGTTGATCAGCTCCAAGAAATGGAAAATAGGACTGGGAAGCAATGACAGTGACTGACTCAGGCAGAAGAAATTGCAGCTGTAGAAAACGAAAGCATGTTTTCCCTAACAACTACAAATGATTTTTCCCATCAGTTTTTCCTTGCAAATTCTGAGATGTAAGGTGGCTAAAGTGAGTTGAGGGTAATAGGCTCTTCCTTCTGTACTCAGATCATGAAGCTTTAAGCTTATACCCCATACCTTGTACCTAGAGGTAGTGCTATTTCCTGAAAATCTCAGCCTGGGGACCAGTTCCTCTATGGCAGGTGGCATTTATGATCTTTAGTGGTCAGAGCCTAAAGTGATTTGGTACCACAAAGCATTATCCCATTCAAAGTGTGCTTTGAGGATCCTCTAAGTGAGCATGATGGGCTGATAGCAAGAGCCGATCAATGGCTAAGCAAGGTCTAGCATCATGGCTTTGGTACAGATGTACTATTGCGACTTTCATGGGTGAGTTGGAGCATTTCCCCTCAGATCATGAGTTGTTTTAATTTTCCTATTAGTGACTTATTCAAGATGAGGTATGGAAGGCATTGGGAGAAAGAAAGCATAACAATAAAATTTTGAAAGGAGGTGAGGGACTTCCTAACTTGGGAGGTGGAGACTGTGGCCAGTACTGTAGAATTACAAACTTGCGTACATAGACACACAGCCACAGAACCATGGCTAGGGCACATGTTTTAACATCTAATGCTCTTTATTTTTTAGTGTGTTCATTTAGGAAAATTGACTTTGAGAGTGCTTTTCTAGAGTTTTCCAGACAATAGTCTCTGCACTCACTGATTAGTTTGCCCTTGGCAGGGAATCAGCTCGGTGACTCTCCTTCTCCCCTACCCTGACCTGTGTCTCTCTCCTCGGTGAAGTTAGACACCTTAGGAAGACTTTGCTGGGAACATTTCACGGCCACAGTTGATGCCTCCCCACTGAATTCCATCTTTTTGTGCAGTTTTGAACAAGGCAGAGTGTGGAGTGTAGGCAGAGCGCGGGAGGCTGGTTTGCATTACATGGTAATGGAGTCACCTTGCCTGCCCAGCCTTTGCACCCAGCTGCTCAGCAGGTCCAGCAGGCTCCTGGTTGGGACTGTCCTTTCACAGGATTAGATCAGAGCTACTGCAGTCTGACAGAAAAGATGCCTGTCCTGAATACCACTCCACAGGATCACAGATGATGTGCACTGGAAAATCAACTGGGAAGAGACAGATAAGGTCCTTCACTTTTAAAGGCAGATTTCCTGGAGCTCCTCATAAATGCAGGCTTTGGCCTTGCCCCCATGCTCTGCCATGCTGCTGATTAACACAATGTGAATTCACCCAGGTTTGCTTAATGGTCAAGTATCACCCTGAGTTGAGCATTCCTCACTGTACCTGCCCTGGTGTACCGTAGAAACGGTCCCCTCCAGATGGCCTGGGTACCTTGGGTACACAGCCTCTCTGCTTGGTGTCCCTAATCATGAGCTGGGGTTTGGACGAGCACTGTTGTAGGAGTTAAGAGAACAAAGTTTCAGTGTCAGCTGCATGGCCCTGGGTAGTTCACTTCTTCTATCAATGAGTCAGTTTGCTCTCCTGGATAAGGGGATGGGAATAGATGATTTATTAAACCTTTCAGAATATCAAAGTACTTCCACACTCTGGTTTCATGGAGGAGATTTAACTTTCTGCTTATATAACAAGGCTTTGTTTTCGCATTGAAATGTCATCTTACATCAGTATTTCAAGGTTATTCTGGTCCATGAGTCCTCAGGGATCCTTTCTTATGTTTGGAGGGACCCCACATGCTCAGTTCAGAGTCTCCATTTGGTCTTATTTTGCAAAGAAAACGAGGTATTCTACCTTGTTTCTTAAGAATGTAAAGAGAAACAATAGTGTGAAGGAGAAAGGGATGGAAACCACAAGCCTTAGTCACACAAGTGGGTCCTTAAATCGGTCTAAAGTGTGTCTAAACCAGTTTAGATTTTGGAACACAATTTGGGATGGCTCTCCAGGCCACTAGAGGGCACTCTGCTGGTGCAGAAACAGGAAGATCCAGTTTGTCTTCCTGTCTTCCCACTCTCATGTGCAGGCTTGCCTATATGGTGAGTCCACACATAATATTAATCTGTATATGTCTATGTACAAAACACTCAGCTAGCCAGATAGGGGCCAGAAGGCATCGCTATGCACAGGGCATATTCTTTAGGAACTTACAGCTTAACTGAGGAGGAAGCATGCTTTTTTAAACAATGTTTAGCTAGTAAGACAGCAAGTCTGGGCCGAGTCCTATGTGGTGTGAGGTGTGTTGATAACTGGTGCAGGAGCCAGAAGGAGAAGGCATGAGTTAGAACTGGAGCGATCAGGAGCAACTTTTGAGAAGGCTCATTTAGTTCTGTGTGTGATCAGTATTCATGTTCAGCCTAAAAGCAATAGCAGTGTCCCAGGTCTGTTCTAAGAGTTTGCAATAGATGAGATCATCTTCCTTCTTATAGCCTCTCTGTGTGTGTCATACAATCAGCTCCATCACTCCTTCTGTGCCGATAGAAGAGGAAACTGAGGCTCAGACAGATGAAGTTCCTCCTCAAGAGGCAGTGTGGAAGCTGAGCCAGGTGGCCTCTCCCAGGAGCAGCCCTGGACTCAGCAAGCTGCGTGCTCAGTAGGAGTCAGATGTGTGTGGACCAGTGGGGCAGGAGGGAGGACTGCTCGGGATTGGGGAGCAGGCTTTGGGGGGAGAAGTCTGGAAAATAATAAAACTAAAATAGAAAATTAAAGTGAGTATTTTCTTAAAATAGGAAATGGAATCACAGCAGATTTCAAATCTACAAATGGTAGGAACTTTGTATCCAGTAATCACTCAGAGTTATTCAGCAATAAACTCAAGAAAACACTGACATTCTTATTAATGAACTGCCCCATATTTACTCTTACATTTTGGCTGCATACTTGCAATCTAGAGATTTTGCATTTTCTTATAAGCAGGCTAGGATGGTTAGTCTTTCTTCTAGTATTGCTGGACAAATTGTTTTTGTAGTGTCCTTACTTTTGCAAAACAACCTTGGTCTCTGCAGTCTTCTGATACTACGTAGATATGCAGGGCTGTAGGTAAGTTGAGGGAGACCTCTGTCACACAGTTATTTTGTGTGTGAGTGGCAGGACGCCTACAGCTGTCTCATTCTGTGATGAATGGTAAACGCTTTTGGAACTGGTGCTGCTTATGTGTGGCTGTGCTTGCTGTATTGGGGGAAATGGCTGCAAGTTGCCAAAGTACATCTGATTAAATCCAAACCAACTGCATCTTTAACTGGACTCCTTGCATAGACCCCCACAGACAGATCCACCATCCCAGTGACACCCCTGTGGGGTGGAGCATGAGCTGGGGTATGTAGTGCCAAAAGTAACAGCATGAAGAGATGGAGGACTTACAGTGTTTTGCTTTTGAAAACGTAGTAGATGTCCTCACATGAGTGTGTTCAGAGGAGTCTGAGTGGTCCACTCAAGCAGAGCCAAACATCCTTGGCTTCCTGATAAATCTGCCCTGCTCATAATGTGCTTCCAAGGCAGAATGCAGACCACTGTCACTAGAGAGAGGAGGAGCTGCAGGGACCATGGGGCCATTTGTGGCAGCCAGGCTGGCCTCACAGCTGATCCAGACATAATTATCAGTCTGTGACTAACTGCTGGGAAGGCATCTAGACCACCAATGTTGATGTGAATCTTGATTTTTTTCTTTCAGGCTGCCAGAAACAGCAAAAAGAAGGAGTCTTCCAGGCCAGGGGGTATGTTGGCAACAGCTAGCACCAGCAGAAACTGTGTGTGTCCAAACAGCAGGCTGTCCCCAGCTCTGTCTCTCACGGGGTTGAAGGCAAGGTCTTGTGGCTTTTGCTTGGACTCGGATTCTTTCCCCTATGTGTAATTGTGTCCTTACCTCTTGTTCCTTCCCTCCTGCACTATCTGCTGGACTCTTCCCTCAGCACTAACCCGGACTGAGGCAGTGGGCAGAACCGGTCTCTGAGAATGCATGGAGGATGCGACTCACCTGCTTCTTTGGGAGCACAGGGAAGTGAACTCCATTGAGAGCTGACTGGGGAGCCCTTGGGCTGTGGGCTTCCGTGATTGGGACTGAGAATGGCCTGGACAATGGAGCTATGGGCTCTTCTGGCTCACCTCAACTGCAGCAGGCCCACTCTTACCTATTTTACAATTGGACTTGGGGCTGGGGTTCTTCTGGGAATGGTAGATGTTTGTGGTTACTATGTGTGATGTCAATATCTGCCGCTTTACAAAGGGGTGACACCTAATGTTGCGATGTGTCCAGGATTTCCGTCCCCTACCATAACAATGCCTGGGTGATTATCCCAGTGCATCACGAACTCAAGGTTTCCATCTTCTCTTTTCCCAGAGGTGTGCACAGGTGTCTGTGTAGCTGGTTCCCTATGCAGCAAGTTGTGCCCGCCGGGCACTGAGGGAAGCATGGGATTTGTCTGCAGGAAGCAGCGATGGCACAAGGTCAATGAGACCTGCCGTACCCTTAATGTCCACAGCATCTTTGAGGTAAGGTCCTTTCTCTCACAGGGCCTGAGTGGGCAAACGAGCCTCAGCTTAGCACTGTGATACACTGGAGAGGTGAGAAAGAGTGCAAAAACGGGCAGCACAAACCCTCCCTCTCCTCTAGCCCTGGGCACTGTGGACTTGAGCTCCAGGCTCCATCTCCTTTCATGATGTGAAGGAACAGGACACAGAGCTCCAGTGAGGTCACCTCTACTCTAGCAGGAAACTCAATCTGGGTAGATGAGGGTTCAGCCAGTCACTGAGTTTATTCAATTCCCACCTTGATAGTCTAGTTGTTTCCTTCACATCTAGTTGAGATCATTTAGGTCAGAGACGGAGGAGGGGCCTGGAACCCTCACTGGTAATTGTTGCATCTTTGATCTCCACCTCTTAATCCCAAAGCCCTGATATTCAGCCTGTCTCTCCCTGGCCGACAGCTCCTTAGACTTACGTTGAGCAGCCTCACCCAGACCTGGTGACCCAGAATCTGTGCTCTATCGAGATCCCCGTGCAACCTGTTTTCATAAAGGCATGAGAAGCAGAGCAGAGGACCTTGTCAACACACTGACATGTTTCCATGCATACTTAAGTAATTACATGTGTTCTTATTTAATCACCATAGATAAGATCAAGTCCTATGCTGTTCCTCCTCCCTTAACTCCTGTCCTCCTTTCTGGGAGTGTTCTCCTTACCTGCTTCTGTGGCATGTCTGCCTCAGGAACCTCTTGCCTTGGCCTCTTGACTCTGGAGCTCTGCTGTCTCCACAGATGTGAGAGCAGGCAGCTTATGACGTCTGGGAGGAGCTTCCTTCTCCCTTGCTGTTCTCAGCTGTTTCTTCCAGATTCAGTTCAGAGTGTCTGTCTTTATGATCTGCTTGTGTCTCAAGCTCTGGCTGTTGGCAACGGGGAAGATAAACTTAAATTACACTAGAAATTTATGCATATATACACCGATACACACAGGGTACACACATGCACACATGTGAGCTGGTCTATCAAAGATAGCAGTTGCTATTTGGGAGAAGGTTGGGAAGATGCGTTGGGAAGTTGTGACATTGAAAATGGAAAACAGAAAACCTTCCCTCAATAGACAAGTGTATAATAAGGCTCACTTAAATATTAGTAAAAGTGATTTTGCATTCAACATAAAGGAGACATAGTTAAGAGTGTCCTTATTTTTACCACATTTTAGGAGAAGTCGACAGTCTACTTTCAAGATATGAATGTCAACAAATCTCCTGGGAAGTCAGAGACCATTGCCCACAGAGTACTTCAGGAGTGCCCAGTTGATCTGTCCTGTGTGACTGGCAAAATCGTGCAGTCTCCCCAGCTACCTGGAAACATCGAGGTCATTGTGCAGCTCTTACACAACATATCCACAGAGCTCACGACAGAGGTGGATGAGCCTAAGATGAAAGTAAGTGGCCATGGGCACCCTCTCTGTGATGGAGGAATCTGGGTCACTTGGGATGCTCTGGGAGCCCCTTGGGTGCAGGGACCGTGTCTTTCACTTAGCATTTTCAGTGTTTAATCTATCAAGTGCTCCACAGTTATCCTTGAGAAAGAATGAAAGGGAAAAAAAATGAACATATTTACAGAGTGCTTGGTAGAAACTGGTGTCTGCTTTTCCAATATCTCTCTTTGCTGCTAAAATCCTCTAATAAAAATTCTGGGTTCTGCAAAGGGAAAGGCTTTTCTCACTTTTAGTTGTGAGTTAAAAATAATTGTTAGAAAGGTACGTAATTGAATGCAAAGGAAATGGCCCTAACTTCCTGCTGTAGAAATGGGAAATGAAACTGGATACATTGCTTTGGTTTTTGACATTAGAAGCAAAGGGTAGATTGTGCCTCTGCTTCTACCATAGTGCACTCCTGTTGGTTTCCTGCGGGGCTGTCTGACAGGGTAATGAGGCAACCTGCAGGGGTGCCCAGGAGTGAAGTGGGACCAAGAAGGGAAATGAGCCCCGAGGTGGTCTGCTGTCTAGCTGTTCGCATCTAGCTGTGTCCTCTCTGTCACACGCCTGTCATCCAGGATCTCATGAAGTTCTTTGTTCCGGTTTGTAAATGTGGGGTGCGCCTGAGTTCCTGGGTCTCTCAGATACTGTGGAAGTTTATGTTGCAGATTGGAGGCCTAATCTTTGCAAGTTGATCTCGAATGAGTGACTGGTTTTAGAGAGCAACTCAGGAGTAACGCTAGTTTTCTATTGTCAGAGTTACAGCGCCATGGCCAACCACATTCTGAACAGCAGCAGCATCTCAAACTGGACCTTCATTCCTGAAAGAAACAGCAGCAGTGTCCTGCTCCACTCAGTCAACTCCTTTGCAAAAAAGCTACAGATACGCAAGAATCCCATCAACATCCAAGACTCCTTTATTCATATGATGGGCTCCATGATACCTGCAGACAGTGAGGGGATGAATTTCACTTTCTCCATGCCTGTTGATGAAACCAGCAGGCCTGTCATGGGCAGTGTCCTGAGCAGTGGAGAGGAGCTGAAGATGGTGCCTTCCACTTCTCAGATCATTTGCATCGCTTTTCCTACACTAGGAGCCATTTTGGAAGCCAGTCTTTTGGAAAATGTCATTGTGAATGGCTTTGTCTTCTCTGTCTTCTTGCCTGAGAAACTTAAAAGAATCTCACTGCATTTTGAAAAGATCCACAAATCAGAGGAGAGGAAGACCTACTGTGTGGGCTGGGATGAGCTGGAGAACAGATGGAACCGCAAAGCCTGTCGGATGGTTGAAGTGAGCTCCCAGCATGCTGTCTGCCAGTGTTGGCCAAACAAGCTGTTCACCTCTTTCTCCATTCTTATGTCACGCCACACCCTGGCGAGCCCAGTTCTGACTTATATCACATACACAGGCTTGGGCATTTCGATTTGCAGCTTGATCATTTGCCTATCCATTGAGAGTTTGGTCTGGTGTCAAGTGACAAAGACAGAAATCTCCTATTTACGTCACTTGTGCATTGCCAATGTGGCGGCCACCTTACTGATGGCTGATGTGCTATTTATCTTGGCTTCCTTTCTTAGTGGGCCTGAGACACACTACAATGCATGTGTGGCAGTGACATTTTTCATTCATTTCTTTTACCTTTCGGTGTTTTTCTGGATGCTCGCCAAGGCACTCCTTATCCTCTATGGAGTTCTGATTGTTTTCCACACTCTGCCCAAGTCAGTCCTGGTGGCTTCTCTCTTTTCAGTGGGCTATGTATGCCCTTTGGTCATTGCTGTTATCACTGTCGGTGTCACTGAACCTGCCAGAGGCTACCTACGGGCTGACGCCTGTTGGCTCAACTGGGACATGACCAAGGCCCTCCTGGCCTTTGTGGTCCCAGCTCTGTCCATTGTGGTAATAAACCTGGTTGTCATCACAGTGGTCATCAGCAAGGCCCGGCGAGTTTCCTCGGGGAGCTCCATGTTTGAGGAAGTGCGAGCCATCATGAGAATCAGTAGGAACATCGCTGTCCTCACACCACTGCTGGGACTGACCTGGGGCTTCGGGATTGCCATACTCATCGATGACAGCTCCTTGGCCTTCCACATCATCTTCTCCTTGCTCAATGCATTCCAGGTGAGCTCTCGTGTTCTGACCAAGCCCTGGGGAGAGAATCCGGGAGGAATGTCTATGCTTAGGGGCCCAGGCACCAGGACTCTATCTAGAAAACGGGAAGCATATTAAGTAAGGAAATGAGTTTTGGTTCCAGAGAGCCTTGGATATTTTGAATTCTGACTCTCCCATTGACTAATAACATGCAATACGATCTTGGAATATTTATCTCCTTTGTAAAGCATATTATTTTCATGCATAAAAAGGGTATAACATTGCCCATTTGTAGAGGGGTTTGGAAAATGAAATGCAGAGGTGAACGGCAATGCATGAGGTCCTAAAATGATCTAGGGGTCACAAAAGGCCTTTTCATAGGTTGATTTGTTACCAGTTAGAAACTGAGCAGTCACACTTCCCTAACCTAAAATTTAGGTTTACAACGGGAGGAAGTAAATTTTTACATTTAACATAGTTACTGCCACTGAAGAGTGTTTACTTGCTATTGGAAACCATGTTTTCTAACAAGGCAAACTATAGATATCCAGGTATATCTAAATAGATATCCAGGTATTGAAGAGAAGTTCTCTGCTCTCATACCTCACCTGTGTAAATGAAGCAATCTGAATCCTTGCTCAGTGTTTTCATGTGAATCCCTGCCAATTTTTTTATGCTAGTAAAAATCCACTTTTACACAACATAAGGGTTAAAAAGCAATGTCTATTATTAGGAAACATGTTTTGTTACTTCAAAGCATTTTTACAATTTTACTGGCTTAGTATACATAAGCATGCCTGTCTACTGCCTGCATGGAATTCTGTACTTAGCAAGTTCTTTCATGATTGGAGTTTTTTCTATAGTCTTTCCTACTATGGTGTTCTGAAGAGCACAGATATTTTTGTATTCCATATTATGTATGTAGATACCAACTAGCAAAAAAGAAAGCTTCTAGTTTTCAAAAGACTTCTAAAATATATCTTTTATCCTGCCTGGATGTATACAGTAGCCAGGGAAAGTATTTCCAAGTCAGTGACTTGCCTTATTTGGTGGGAGAAAAATAAAACACAGATACAGAAGCCCAGCACCACACTTTGAAGTTTACCTGCCCGAACTGGGCTTCAACTCCTAAGAGTTGTGGGCAGGCTGTGTTAGATCTCCTCTCCAGTAGATATTAAACTTCATGACTAGCCTCTTATATGAGTTCTCTGAATACATTTTGTGTAACTTTTCCCAAGTTGGCAAAAAGCAACAAGGGGTGTTAGTGGTATGTTTTCTTCTTCTCCTTTTATGTCCATATAGATTCAGGGTGCAGAGTAAAGTTATGAAACACACACTCAAATACCGACAGACTATATTTAATAATCTTTTTTTCTTTCTTTCTTTCTTTCTTTCTTTCTTTCTTTCTTTCTTTCTTTCTTTCTTTCTTTCTTTCCTTCCTTCCTTCCTTCCTTCCTTCCTTCCTTCCTTCCTTCCTTCCTTCCTCTCTCTCTCTCTCTTTCATTTTTTAAAGACAGGGTCTCACTATGCAGTTCAGGCTGGCCTTGAACTCACTTTGTAGCCCAGGATGGTCTCAAATTTGTAATTATTCTCTTGCCTCGGCCTCCCTAGTGTTGGGATTACAGACGTGCACCACCACACCCAGCTTAGTGTTTATTTTCTACCAGTCATTATAAATAAGTGAAATATTATAAATAAAATTATAAAAAAGTCAACCTCCAAGAACTTAACATCTGAGGAGGAGAAAAATTCTTTGTAGTTCTTTATCCATATAGCATAGGTTTTTTTTTTAGTGGTTAGGGGAAAGATTCTAGAGGTGTGATTCCTACATCTTTCTTTTTTTCAACTCTTGTTGTTGGATACATTCATTTAAAATGTTTTTGTGGGACCCACATCAGGCTGGGATGCGTTTGTCCCAAGCATCTTGGTAAAGATGACACTTTGTAACCTGGTAGGCCATGCCAGCTACACATTTTCTTATTAGAACTGATGACAGCTTTCAGTAATTGCACTGTACATGAAGAGTGTCACACAGAAGAGCAAGATGGTGCTAGCTGCGTGTTAGTGGGGCTGGCAGGAGGGAGGGAGCCCAGCACATGTAGGGTAGAGAGAGCTTCCTGGCTCTGCCATGGGTCCTGTGAAGCCCTCATCTCCCAGCCCAGCTTTGGTCGCTCTGTGGAGACAGCAGGGTTGATAGCATTCTTGCTGAGGCACAACCGTGTGACAGCTCTGCGGGGACAGTTGTGTTGGACCCAGGGGCCTCAGAAGCCTCTGGCTGAGTTCACAGCCCTTGGGAAACTGGAGCATCAGGACACAGTGATGCCTAAATAAAAGGTCATCACTTCCTTTTCCTTTTGTTTCTTAACCCAAGAAATTGAACTTTCAAGAAAACTTGTGTTTAACGAATGTTGCTCTCTGTCCCACTTTCAAGGTGGAATCTCTGCACTTCTTTCCCTTCATCTAAACATAGGAGTCCCCCTTCCCTTCCTTCCTCCAGATGGTTTGAGCCAATGTAAGAAAACACCATAGAAACTCAGCTATAGGGCAATTGTGAAGGCACAGTCTGTTTCTGACTTGACTGGGATTTTCTCTGCACGCTCAGGAGAGCCGGCAGAGCTGCGTGGTTCTCTCGCCTCTTGCTATTCAGAACAGCAGCTTAGGTTTAGAAACTCAATTTATTTCACGGCTTATTAATTTTTCTGTGGATGCACTTATTCATTTTCATGGCAAGTTTTATAATAATAATCTTTACTGTGGATGGAAGGAGAGCGGCAGTGTATATGGGCAGTGCTGGGTTTTGATCTTTGCTGTGGACATTTCTCTTGTTGCTTCTTGTTCATGGACTGAAAACTCATTATCCATTACCTAATGTCTCCTTGGGTGCTTTCTTGTATCATTCTATTGTTTTTTTTTCTTTCTTCTTTTTTATTTTGTATTTTTTTTTCGGAGAATTGAACGCAGGGCAAAGGTACTACTATTGAACTATCCCCTTCTTACATTTAATTCACTTTAATTTTGAGTTACTAATTTTGTGAGGCTGGCCTCAAACTCTTGATACTCTTGCCTCAGCCTCTTGCATAGCAGGAATTACAAGTGTGCACCTGGTTTAGGTGATTGTACTCTAATGAAAGGGACAGCTACTACTAAATGCAAAACACCTGTATTGGCCATGGCTCCGGCTCAGTAGCACAGTACCTGCCCTGCAAGTGCAAGGTCCTGAGTTTGACTCCCAGTATGAAAAAAAAAAAATTAAAAAATGGAAAAAATCCACCTGTATATGCTCACTTTGGAAGATGTTTTTAAAGTGCTCCTATATGAAGCAGAGACTTTGTTCTTTTGGTTCATGGAAGCTTTCCCTATCCGTGGAGCAGACTGGCCCTGGAACCAGGGTTTGTTGAATGATTGAATCCAGCTGTTAGAACCTTGAGGGAGGAAATTAGAAGACTGGATTAAATTGCATTCTTATGACCAAAACAGTAACTGAGTGATGAATACTGGTATTTGTTATCCTCATTTTTTATTTGAAATGGTTCTTTTTTCCTTCCCCATCTTCACAGGGCTTCTTCATCCTGGTGTTTGTGACAATCCTGGATCCGAAGGTACTTTATGTTGTCTTCTCATTTTCCTGTGTTGTTGTCAGGGCTTGGCCTTGACATAGTCAGTGGTGATGACCACTTATGAACTGTCTGTCAGCTCGAATACTTGTGCAGACACACATAGGGAGCGTCACTACTTTTCCTGATGTCAGCGGCATCTGCCATCCTTCAAGCTCTTTAGGGTTAAGTGATCATGTGGATTAGCTCTGATTCTCTAAGCAATCCGGATCACTGCTAGTTTCAGTTTTACAAATGGAAAAACTGAGACTCTGTAATTGATTAAGTAGCTCACTCAAGATGTGTTTGAAACCACTCTGATTCGTTGAGGCAGGAAACAGGATTATTTTATACCACAATACCATCTTTAGGAGGATCTCTGCTTGGGGTACAGGCTGTACCCCAGGAATGGTTTCCAGTGTAGGGCATAGTTCTGCAATGAAGGCCACCACTGCCAGCCCTGGTGCTTGCCGATGTCATCCTAGCCTGGCCTTTTGGGCCACTTGCTCTGCTGTACTTTGGGGTGTGAGTGGCTGGGCCAAGCCATAGGGCTGCACTTGAGTGGCAGCGGGATTCAGGGGTGAGTTCTGCCCTGCAGCTCAGGGCACCCAGGGAGGGGTTGTACTGACACAGTGAGTGTCGACAGGCTGTCAGCAGAGAGGACCCGCACTGACACAGGAACACACAGCCCACATTCATTGAGGTTTGGAGGCCATCCCTGGCACTTGCGCATCCGCACCTGGAGTCAGCAAAGCAGACACCTCTCTCAGATGTTCATGCAAATGCCTGCTCTGCTAGAGCGAGATCATGTTAACCAGGTTCATATGCAGTCTAGAACAGAAAAAAAACTCATCTTCACTACAGGATTGTGTGCTTTGTTAGGCATTTGCATCATAGCTGTTATTTTACTAAGTCAGCATTAGGGTTTATGAAAGAAGAGTTTCAAAACTGTTCTTGCATTGTCTGTTGAAGACACCACTACAGCTAGTAAAAATTATTCAGATTTGAAAGAGTACTGGTCTTGGTATTTCAAGTTTGACTTGAGAATTTTGACCTTATGATGTCACAGAGTTGATTCATATTTAATGGAAATTTGATTTCAGATTCTGGGTTTTGATCCTTTTTTGGGCTAGCAAGTGCAGTGTGAAACTCTCTGGTGACAGCAAATGACAGCCTCCCATCAGGCCATGACTAGGAGGGTAACAGCCCATTTTCCACTATGTTTTGCAGTTCAGGAGCCTGGGTGTATCAAACGCACTCATGCCTTATGATATTTTCAACTGGCAATAGTTTTTTTGTGATACAGTCCTGTCACGTGTTAAAGAGAACTTATATCAGCTGTGTGGTCCTGGGGAATTCTTTGATGATTGTAAATTTCAGATTCTTCACATGGAATGCAGGGATAAGGACACTGCCTTTCCCACTAGATTACAGAAAACCACAAGTGCACATTTATAGGCAGGTACAGAACACATGTAAGGCATCACATAGTCATAAGCACAACATATGGGTTTGGTAAGCATCACACCATAGCCAGTGTCTGAGCCAGAGAGGCAGAAGCAAGAACAGCAGCATTGGCATCAACAGCAGTAGCAGAGGCCACAGCAGCAGCAGCAGCAGCAGCAGCTTTATTCCGAGCTATTTGTAGGAGTTGTGAGGACAGACCTCACAAGGAACAGAGCCTCTTGCAAGGCCAAACCCTGTTACATTTAGAATTAAAATGAGAAAGAGAAATGCACCAAAATGCCCTCGGTCATGCACGATTCATTGACAAGAAAGTGTGTATGAATTGTCTTCAAATTTTTAGATCAAAAACACTGAGCATGTACCCTATACGTGCTTATTAATACAGAGTGGAATGTGTATTATGCATGTTAGAAAACATGGTTTTAAAAAGGATGAGCACAAAGACCCTCACCCTCAGCTGGAGGCTTTCAAAATTATAACAACAAGAGGTATAAAGCTGAGTACCATAGTTATTTATTACTTTTATTTCCTAGGCTCCATAGGCTGCTGCTATGTGGTGTAGCACTTTTTTCCCCATCTAAAAAATTAAAAATTTGTGAGAAGTGATGAACTCTTTACATAAAATAAAAATAATGCCCAACCTACATTTACAATGCTCAGTTTGTGGAAAACTTTCGTAGCCACTTGGCCCCATCTAAGGCCCTGGACACTCAACTGCCTGTTTCCCTCTCTCTTTTCCTGGTCCCCTCCATCTTCCCCAACCACCAGGCTGCTGAGCCCATCTCCCACCAGCAGGACACTGCCTTGCCACACTATTTGCCAGGCTCAGGCACCAGTGATAACTTCTTATCATCCTTTAATTCTTAACCCTCTTTCTGTTAAATATCCAGATCCGAGAAGCCTTAAAGGGTCGAGTAAACTCTGCAAAATGGATCTCCAGGATATCAGAGGTAAAACTGTCATTTTTATTTTGCATTTAAAATCTTGACAAAATAGCAGCCATGCAAAGCCATCACCTGGTCAGTTTGTGATGTCCCTGGTTGTGCACCAGACCAGGCGTGTGCCTGGGCCTCACATTCTCAAAGCCACAGCTCATTTTCTTCTAAGTCCTCAGTATTGGGCCACTCTTGCCACCATGGGGAAATTCTTCCTTTCCGTGCAAAGAAATCATTTGCCAGTTCCTTTTCGTTTTTGTACATGAGTAGCTCAGAATAATGCCCAACACTATTATCAATTGACCATTACTTGGTCCAGTGGCTTCCAACACTGCTTGTTCCTTAGAGACACCTCAGCCAGAACTCCTTGAGAAAGGTGCTCTCATAGTCCCCTGGTTAGAGGCTGAGTGCTCATCAGAACCAGCTCCATGGTGACTCTGCTGGGAGCTGTGCACATTTAATGTCCCTTCCTGCCATTTCCTTCCACTCGGTAGTCCTCAGCCTATTATTGGTCCCCAGTTCCCATGGAGCACGGGAGCACTGTGTCCCCTCTGACCCCTGGTAACAACCTTCTCTGCACCAAACTTAACTTGTTCCTTGCAGTATTGGCCTAGTAGGGTCAGTCCAGCACCACTCCAGGACAGAGAGCTCCACCTACCATCACATGGAATTTGCTCAGATGGGCAGCCTTGCTCATATAGCCATCATCCTAGTATATTAGAGAAGAATTTTGCTATGGGTTGGAGGTGTAGCTGTGACAGGGTCCTGTCTTTACTTAGTCGGTGGGAAGCCCTGGGCTTGACCTGAAGCACAGCCAAAAAGAAATTATTTTTTCCATCCAGAAGGCTTTTCCTAGTCAATCTTTTCTATGGTCAGAAGTGCAAGCCTATTTCTAACTCCTGGACTATGGCGTGCTTGGTGTGAACTGGCAAAAGAAGCTGGTGAGTCTGAAAAGGCACCTGGCTGAGCCTGGGCATAAGAGGCCAAGCAGAGGCACCTGCTCTGCCCAGCTCTTCCTCTCCATGTCCTTGCCAGCTTCATTCCCAAGCATCTCACCTCAAACCTGCAGTACCTCCAGGTTCCCATTGCAGCCTTGGTCTTTCTCCCAGCTTTAGAAGATCAAGAAGAGGCAGACTATGTTTCTGAGACATTAGAGGTCTTGCCTGTGAGGCACATGGAGAAACCAAATTAGAGAGGGGAACTCAATGGGGAAAAGAGTACGCATAGACCAACAACCATGGGAACACGTATTAGAAGAAAGCCACCTCGGTCCTTGGATTTGTGCAGTACACGTCCTCCAGTCCTGTGCCTGGAGGCAGACCAGAGTAGGACATAGAGCACAAATGGGGACACTGACCACCCCCAGGAAACTCACAGGTGCAGGGAGGTGTGGGGAGCCTGGGGGTGCACAGGGAGCTCAGAGAACTGGGCAGAGGGGATGAAGAGCAGGTAGCCCTGGATTCACACAGAGACAGTGCTTGGGTTTGCAGAGAGTCTGCCGCTCACCACATAGTGAGACTTTCTGCAGATCCCAGGGCCTTGTGCAGACACCTGGACCTTTGCCAGGAGGAGCTGCACTGAAAGGGAAGGAAGGGTCCCAAGATGAATCTTCAACTAGGCATGTGCAGGCAACAGAACAGGACTTTTGCTTGGCGTTGGGGCAGGAGATGGGCTCCTTGCTTGCAAAATCTGTCTGTGCTCCTAACCTCTGGGTGCAACTGCCACACACTAATGTCTTACTTTTGTTTTCCCAACAAGGTCACTCCCCCAGAAATGGCAGTGCCTGGTGGAAAATCACAGTGATTCTTGCCTTCCACTCTCTGTGGAGTGGTGGAAAGGAGAAGCATGGGAGGATGGAGACCACCCAACCTGCCCATCACCTGTAAATACCTACATGACTCTGAGTGTCCCCTCAGAGATGGAGTGGACCCCTTGCAAGATCAGGATCACGGTCTCCTTAGCACCTCTGCCTCCAAGCCATGGGCCTCATTCATCCAGAGGAAGCAGTTGGGTCTTATCTTTGGCCAACGTGGCCTGGGAATTTATCTGCCAGAATTTCGCATCTGTGGAGGGAGAAGCTCATAAATAGGCACTGAAAGTTGAGGGCTGAATGGACTAAATCATCGCTGGCTTTTTTTTTTTTCTATGATAGAAGCGAACTGCCAGCATCTCCTACTCTGTCAAAGTTCAGTCAATGGTCAGGCTAGTTGGGCTCAGATGCCATTGTCTTGTTCTTGAGCCATATGCAAACCATAGAGGTAGTGCCTGAAAAGATGCCTATTTTAACAAGATAAAAACCCAGAGATGTGACTCACAGGTTATCAATGGCTGAGAGAAGGAGGAAACATACTCTACATTTTACTCACGCGTCCCCAAATCAACAATATGTGTGTTTGATATCCAGGATGGGGAAGGGGAAATGTGTTTCAGAGATAAAGCTGCTCATTTTCAGAACTGTGCATGTAAACAATCTGGCATTCAAGGCAAAGGTCACCTGGGAGAGAACCCTACTTTGGTCTGAAGCCTTTTACAGAGTCGTATTCAGGTATCTGCCACTGCAAGAAGCCAGGAGATAAAGTCACAGGGCAGGCAGGAACCCTAATAGCTTTACTGAGATGCCATGTCCATTAAGAGACACTGAGGTCCCTCGGTGGATGGGCAGGGCCCCTCTCCCTCTCTTTGTATCTTTTTCCATAGAGAATCTTTTTCTAAGTAGGCAAGTTTGAGAAGGTAAAGAGGACAATCAGAAGGTAGGGAGATTCCTTGCCCTGGACAGAGTTTTTGTTCCAGTGATTGCTCACACTGAAACAACGATGTCATTTCTAGATAGACCGCAAGAATTGTCTCAGTTCACCAGTGCACCCTCAGGGTCTCCCTTGTAGGCACAGCTTTGGCTTGGCCTCAGGCACAGAATTCTGCACAGAGAAGTGGCACTCACACAAAGCCAGCACCTTGCAGGGAGTATGGGTCTCAGAAAGCGAGCCAGTGAGGGGACCCTGCATGTGGAAAAGTCTTAGCAAGAAGTCCACTTGTTCCACTGTAGGATGAGCATGGAGCAGACAGGGAGGACCTGGTCTGTGACCCTGCTGGGCCATCAGCAGCCCCGTTGGATGGGAAGCCCTAAGCTCTGGCTTACCCACTTCCTCAAGTAGGATGAGGGACACCCCAATGAGGCTCCCTGCTAACAAGGGAGGCCCAGGGAGCCAACAGGGAACGCCTTGAAGAAGCCAATGTCCTCATTCCCAACCCACTCTGCACCTCCTGAAAGGAACTGCTGGGTCAGGCTGACTCTGCTGACCCTCAGTAGTGACGCTGGGTCCTCTCAGGCCTCCCAGGGAAGTGACATGGCTAGGGCCAGAGGGAAGCCTGCTGCTAACAGTGTTAAAGGCAGACTCTAGGGCAGAACATGAATTTTGGTCTATCCCTGGGAAAGTCATTCAGATTTGGGCTTCGGTTGTATGAACTGAACGTAACAGAGCCAACCTCGTAGGATGATCATACGGATTAAATGAATAAATGTGGGTGAATTGTTTAGCAAAGTACTTGGCCAGTAATAATTGCTCTTTAAAATTTATATTTGTTTATTATTGTATCTATGACAGCCCCTTCCAAATGCAGAGATGTGCAAATGCACGCATGGCCTTTTGCATAGGCTTGGACATTCATACCCGCCTAGGAACGAGTTAACTGATTTCTAAATAAAAGAATTAGACTTCTGACTTGCTGTGTTCAATGTTAGGGTTTCCAGCCAGTGAAATCTGCAGTGTCCCATGGAATGAGGGTTTCACCCAGGATCACCCTGGTTGAACAAGGCTCCCTTCTCCGTAGGGTACGGTGCACACCCCTGGGGGTTGCCCCGCTTGGTCTCACCTCCTGCCTTCTCTGGGAAACCTTCTCTGGTTTGTGCAGCCAGAAACACCCATTCTCCCCAGTCAGCTGTCATATTATTTATAATCTGTTCCCCTCATGGTATGTTAGTATTTATTTTTATGTTGTGTGTTCCTTTGGTCTTTCTGCATGCCTATAAAAATATAGTCTCCTGGATAAGGCAGTGAATTTTGAGGAGCAAGCCTGTGCCTTCTCTTCTTTGCTGTGTTCCTTACATTTCTCTGTATGTTTGTACTGCAAGGTGCATCATATGCATGATGTGTAACCTCACTGAATTCAATAAATTCTTCCAATTGCACAAGTGCTTGGCCTGGCTTTGCTAAATCCCAGTTACCGAGTCTTATCCTATCGGTGACCTAAATGAAACCGAGCCCTTTCCTCAGGCACCGCCTTCTTGACCTTCATTGCTGGAGGTTGTGCAACTCCCACCTCTCCCTCTTTGACCTACTTGTCAACATTTCCCTGGTAGCATCTAAGTGGGGTGTGCAGGTCTTTGGGAGAGAGTCCTGTAAGCAGGACACACCAGCAGCAGGATGAGTGAGGTATTTGGGGCTGAGCAGGACAATGTGAACTGCTGCCCTGTGTGATATCATTGCATGTGAAGCTTCCCATGTGGGGACTGTGCTCTTCTCCCCTGGGTCTCAGTCCCCTGTAGCCATGCAGAGACTCAGGGAGAATGCCTTGCCCAGTCATTAAAAAAGTGAAACGGAAATTCCTCTGGATCCCAGGTAGAGATTACATCACAGCTTCCCGCTCGGCTTCTCCGGTGTTTTCTCTAAGTTCAACATGGGGACGAGTGTTTGAGTTGCAGGGCAACCTTTGACTTCAGTGCTGAAGGAGTGTACAGCCTTGCATCCCATCACCCTTGCTGGAATTGCACCGACTTTGGGTGCAGTGGCCTCCGGTGATTCGCTGAGACTTGTAGGACAAACAAGTGACTCACGTTGATGTGCTTGCTCCAGACAGGAGAAACCTGTAATTTCTCCTGGGCAAGCCTGATGGATGCACAGTGGTGAATCACAGTTTCCACACCGGGGCGGCTGTCAGACAGGCTGCTCACAGCAACTGGCAGGTTCACACATCCCTTCCGAGGATGGAGAAGTGGGGTTCCACCCCTGTGGGGACTGAGAGCTGACAGGGTGGACGCACGTGATGGTGGTCCAGGATGTGGGGTGCTCAGCACCCACCTTCCCACAGGGTGATTCTCCATCTCTGGGGTACTAGACCTGCTTCCTGACGCAGTAAGTACATGGCTCACCAGCACGCTTTCCTGCTGAAGAAGGGTTGCTTCTGCTCTGTTCCCGGGTGGGAAACGTATGTGGCTTATGATGGAATGTTCTTGAAAGCTTGGTTCTGGAGGATCTGACCCTAAGGCTATTTGGAAATCAGTTTCATCTGCTAGGCTGTAATTGCTGAATGATAGGAGCAAAGTGAAAACACTTGGTTGGGTAGGGATATTTACTGTCCCTTGAGGTCCCCTCCTGACAAATTCTAATGGTTTTCCATGAATGCAATGGTGGATGGTTTTCAAAATAATCTTAAGTAATTTCTTTGTTTAGAGTCTGAGAAAATATCTTTATAGCACCTGAAGAAATGCATCCAAGTACTGTTAAATCTTTTGCAAAGACATATGTCTGCCTGGGGTGGCAAGTAGAGTGCTGTGTAAGGCGCAGGCACCTCAGAATCTGAGGGTGATTTCTAGATCACTCCATGTTCCATCATAGTTGTTACCTCCAGTATCAGGACTCAGCAAGTTTCTTAAAGGACCAGAGTGATCACCATGTTTATTAGTTTCTTAAATCCTACCTAAGAGTCAAGGCAATGTTTGAGTTCTCTGAAGGTCTTCCAACACCAAAATTTTGTCATTCTATCAAAATTTGACCTCTGATTTAAATTCAGAAGAGATATTGAGTCACAAAATTATTGCGTGGAAGTCAGAAAAAATAGCACAGGTGGTTGTTTCTGATTGTGATGCTCTGTCTGTGTTCCTCTGTGTGTAGTACAGATTATCCACACACGGTGTGGGAATAGACTACTGTGGAGACTGAGAGATGTTGAAGCTGTGCACATCAGCATCCCCTTTAGGTACCTGGGACTGTGACCAGAGCTCTAGTTCCACTCTCAGAGTACACCTGTTGGCAATCAGTTGAGGGTTCTTTTGCTCCATTCAGGTGGAAATCACGAATTGGCAAAGTGAAGCTCTGCTAGTAGCCCTCATAGTACCACACAATGCCATGTAATGTTGGGTGCTAACAACTGTCGCTGGCTACTGGTCCCTGCACTGTTGGCCGCTGCCATCTGAGTCAGTTTATGCCACAGACCATAGGTGGACGCTGTTGGGTGCTGGTCTCTGTTGCTGATCTTTATGGGTTGCTGGTCTCTGGAGCTCTTTGGAGTGAATAGTCTCTATTGTTTATTGCTTTTTCCTTTGAGATGATCATTCTGTCCACAGTACTCAGGATCAAAGATTATAAGACCTTCTCAGTCCTGAGTAGATTTATAGGACTTTCTAGGCCCACACTACATGAGAAATAAATCATGACATCTACAAGACCACTAAAGAAGTCCTTATTTTAACCAGGACTGTACTGCAGCGTAGGCGGTTGGCACTCTGAATGGAGCCCTCCTAGACTAACTCAAGAGGGCAGTGTGCTTATATGGCAGCTATCGGCCTGTGATTGGTTGAAATTTAGGTCTGCTGATTGGTCCAAGTGTAGTCCTGTGCTTGGTCCAAGCAAGGGTTGGGATCATCAAGGGTAACTGCAGCTGTCAGGGTGGGAATTCACTGAAAGGGTGGGGGAGCTTTAGCTGTTGGCTGACAACTGTTTCTTCTCTGGAAAAAGTGGCAGAGCTGAAACCAAGGCCTCTTTCGGAAGGTGTTCGTCAGGCCTAATGGGTTCGGGGAAGTTGGGGATGTTAGCCTCCCATAGGCCCAGATCCTTCCATCCCTGTTCTTAGCTATTCCAGGCCCTCAGCATTTCTTCAAGGAGACAGCAGCAGCCTGTGAGGGGCAGAGCAGGGCGGCAGGATGGTGCCGGTAGACAGGTGCACCTGTGTTGGAGTGGAGCAGCTGCTACATAGTGGTGTTGGGGGGTCAGTGAGGGGTCAGTGAGGGGTCAGCGAGGCCCTTTGTCCTCATCATAGGGTGTGGGGAAGCAGAATGAGATGATGGTGAGGGGTGTGACAACCATAAACCAAGCCATGTCCCCCCTGTCAGCTTGAGAAGTCAGGGGAGGCCAGGCTTCGGTTGTGGAATTAGGCTTAGGGAGACAGGACGTGGGTAGACCAAAATGTGATCATCCTTAGCCGGAAACTTCTTGCCCCCTGACTGACCTTTCCGAACTGGTTGTTTCCATTTGATGATGGGCCTGGCTGAGGGAAGGAACGCAAGTGGCTTGGCTGGTGACAGGCTGTGAGATGGCCCCCCGGTCACCTGGGAATATTCACTTGGATGACACCATCCAGTCCCCTCCATCAGGGCATGTGCTGACTGAGCTTTACCCGTGCTCTATGGAAGCCCCAAGGCCAGCACTGGCTGGCAGGCTCGGGCAGAATGTGAGCTCCTCCATCTGTTGAGTCAGTGCCACAACCCCACATGGCTCCTACTGGGGACGCTCCAGGGTCCACCCAGCTGAGGCCAACTCACTCAGAATTGCAGCTGTAGGTAGAAAGCAGAGAGCCAGGTGCTGCATGGCGGCTGGAGCCACAGCTCTGCAGAGCGTGTGGGGGACGGTGCCTGTGACTTCTGACTTGAGAGGCGTGGACAAGCACAGGCACAGCCACAGCCCACCCCTGCCTGTGGTGGACATGGCCCATCAGCATGGCAGCCTCTCCTTCCTCCCTTCTTCCCTCGCTCCTTCCTTTTCTTTCTTCCTTTCTTCCATCGTTTCCTTCTCCTTCTCTTCCTTTCATTTTTCCTTCCTCCCTCTTGCCTTTTTCTCCCCTCCTTTCTTGCCTCCTTCCTTTTGTTCTTCCCTTTCATTTCCTTCTCTTCCTTTCTTCCATTCCTTTATTTTTGTCTTTTTCTTTTTTATCGGTACCGGGGATCAAACTCACGACCGCCTGCTTGCAAGGCAGGTGCTTATGCCGCTGAGCTAAGTCCCCAGCCCCTATTTTTGTCTTTTTTCACTCCTCCGTCCTTCCTTCACTCTTTCCTTTCCACTCCTCTCCTTATCCTCTCTGCCTTTTCCCTTCCTTTCTTCCTTCCCTCCTTTAGCATGGCTTTATTTCTCATTTAACTTAGGTGGGCCCTCACACTATTTTCATACAAGGCCTAGGTAGTATAACAAGGAGATGCCTCACAGTGGACTGGATATTAGGCAGCTTTTCAACTTAAATCACTAGATCCCAAATTCACCTAGAATTGCCAATCTCTTGATCTTCTGCATCCAGGAGTTCCCCATGCATAAACTCAACCACCATGGAGCAAAACATTTAGTAAAAATATAGTCTGTAGTAACCCACAAGGACTTGTCATTGTTGGCTAAACACTAGGGCACAACTATTTACAAAGCATTTTCCTGTATTGGTTGTTATAAGCAGTCTGGGGGGAACTGAGAGTCTGGGGATGATATGCTTGGATCATATGCAAACACCAGGCCTGTTTTATATGAGGGACTTGAACATGAGCAGATTTGGGTGTCCATAGGACATCTTGGAACCATCATTTCATGGATACAAGGGACAACTGCATCCTCCCTTGGCAGAATAAGGTAGAAAAGAGTTTCATTAAAGAGATGATTTTAAGGCAAACCTTGCAGATCCCATGCAGGAGTCTTCACCAATCCCCGACTTTCTTCACTCTTTGGTGCTCACACCCAGTGGGTAGAGTCCCTCAATACCTGTTCCTGTGGAGCATGAGGGAAAGGAGCAGGTGCTTTCCTCCTGGCTGAGGCAGCTGATATTTTTCTGCTCCCTTAGCTGTGGCTCTGAGCTAGGAGCACCGGTGTCAGTACTGTCACCCCTCTGCCATCAGAGCCCAGGTGTGGGGTGGGGGAGGCCGACTGCTGTGCCTGAGTTCCTTATTGGATGCGGCTGCATCTTCCTTCAGGCCTTGGAAGCTGGCACAGTTTCTTCCTCTCTCCTGTAATCTCCGGGTTAGAGAGGGAAGCTGGCTTCCCTCAGCAGCCCGGAACTGCAGTTTACGTCATATGAAAAGCACAAGTGATCGGCAGTGGGGAAGGTGTTCAGAGAGAAGCGGCTGTGGAAGAGGAGAGCGGGGATCGGGCCAGGCTTTGATTGCTTTCATCTTCGGGAGAAGCTGCTGTCTTGCTAGCTGAGTCACTTGCTGTCGCCAAAGTGGGTGACTGGCCCGGAAACTGGCAGGAGTTTGTTTACAAATGGCAGCTAACTCTCTGTATACCTCCTTGCCACTGATGACCCCAGGTAGAGTTTTTCTGATTTGTCTTCTGTTTCTGAATCTGTCCTCTTCTCCTGTTTTCTCCCAAGGTTTGGTGTGAGAGACTCAGGAGCCCCTGTGAACGCTAGCACAGGGACCAGAAAGGGGCAAGTGTCAGTGAGGACTCACGCAGTCCGAATCTGGACAGAGTGAAGCATTTCCTGCCAAAATAATCCATTTTTATGCAGCAGCAGCAGCTTTAAATTCCTTAAGGTATTTTTGATGATCGAGTAACTTTGGTGAAACCTGGGAAATTTTCTTTTGACTACAGGAATGATCAGAAGTTTGGGGTTACGTGTACCTGTGTTGGGGCAGGATGAGACTGGGGTAGCAGTTGGTGATGAGATACTTCTGTCTTCCTTTGGCCAGTACTTCACAGATTCCCAGGTTAAAGCACAAGGCTGGGGTCACATACAGTAGAAACCAAACCTATCTTGTGTATCTACTGGAAAAGTAGTCAGTAGATACATCGCTCTCATTGTTAGGTTTTTCTGTTGTCTCGTTGTTTTCCACTTTTGCTTCTGGCTACAAGTTCTTGGTAAACAAATGGTGGATAATTATATAGGTCAGGCTCAGATGTAAATATGCACTGGTCTCATAATTACTCAACTCTGCGCCCCGTTTCCTTGAGGATGAAGTGCAGACAGGAATACCATCTGCCCTCCTAGGATTAAATAAATGAATGCAGAGAGTGTGCTTTGAACAGTGACTGGCAAATGGAAAAAATTGATAGGTGTTACTGTTAAAGAAACTCAAGGTTTAGATAATAAGGAACGAAACTTTGTTGGACATATATCTTTCCTAGTGCCCCCACCATTTCTGTCTTTTACAGTGGAGTGATTTTCCTTCTCACATCTTAACTGGGCTGGAAATAGAGATGGTATCCATCCCTGAGGGAAGCTGCCGCTGTGTGGACAGAGCGAGCACCCTGTGATTCACTGCTGAGTGGTTGATGGGCTGCTATGTACCCGGATGGTTGTGTGAATTACCAATTTTGGCTGGTTTTGCCTTCCTCTCTTTTGCAGGCTAAAACTCTAAAGTGTGAAAATGAAGGTCCAAGTCACCATGATTTGCTGTTACGTGTTTTTTCTGACCACAGAATGTTCCCACTATAGACCCAAGAGTCACATCAAAGTAAGTTTACATCAAAGCAAGAGTCACATCAAAGAAAGAATGACCTCTGCTCACCCTGTCTAGATTTCTGATAAATAACACCCTTCTAAGCAAAATCCCAAATGACTACAATTACATTCTTGCTGATAGTAACTTTCTAAAGAAATAAAAGATCAACAGAAAATTGAGAGGTGGCAGGGATTGGGCCAGGGATTGTTAATAAAATAATCACTTTTTAGTACACAGGAAATATAGATGGACAGCTAGTGAGAGGAGACTGACCTGGTGGAGAGCAATCCAGATTCATATCTAAACTGTGCTTGTCACTAGGTACACAAGTGACTCCAGTTTCCTGTGTCTTAATTACCTTATTGATAGTACACTATTTTTTTAAAAAGATAATATTTATAATGCATTACAGATATAAAAGATTTATGATTCTATTATTGCAACCAATTCCTAGTTTCTACCAATTTCTTCCTTCTGAGGAATACAGTGCCCAGAGGACTGGGCTAGCTGTGATCTACCTTTAAAGTTAAGGTAGCCAGAGCATGACTTGGAAACACAATTGTCACATTGATGTTCTGCATGGACGCCTAAGACCTTCGTATGGCTTTCCTGCTGCACTAATGTGACCTTTAGATGCGGGCAGCCTCTGTCGTCCATGGGCAGTGTGTGCTCAGTAACCCCACTGGTGTTTTAGTCAGTGAGTTCTTGCGGGACCATCAGTGGGCTGGCTGTAATATCCCTCCTATATGTGGAGCCTCTGAACAGAGACAAAGTTGGAGTCCCACAGTAAAGAGGGTTTTTGGGGATTTATGTTTTTCAGGTTGGAGAGAAACCTCAAAGCCCCACAGGGAAACCCAGGACTGGACAGATAGAAGGTATGTGGCTCTAGAATGGCCTCCATCCCTTTGGGCTCATGACAGGGGAGAGCAGGGACGCTGGTGTTGCAAGCATGTACCCCGGCCATAGGCTTTCCAACCGAAGAATAATTTATAGTAAGTTCTCCATGTTTACCAATCTGGATAGATATTTTTCACAAGGAAACTATCATCAAAAGGGTATTTATTTGAAGAAAAGGAACCATCATCAGTGGCATCGACAATGAAGCAAGCTGACCCATCTTCGTGTGTGCTTTCACATAGTAGATAAAGGTTTGCTTTCAGACTCAAAGGAGAGTAAACATGTTCAAACCAATGAGCTAACAGGAGACAGAGCAGAAAGAGCGCAAGATTCATTTATTCTCAAAAGGGTTTTGAGGGTGCTTAAATGTAAGTAATGCTTTGCACTGAGAGGTCTTTGAAGGAATGCATGGTGGCCTCCGTGGTGTGAGACTGGCACCTCATCAGCACGGGAGGTAAACAGCAATGATAATCATTAGTAATAACAGGATGAAATCTGTGGCTCTCACCCAAATTGTAGGGATAACTGAGCTGGGCAAAATGATGGCCAGGGATAATTTTGGTGGCAATTATATCTTTATCTAGATGTGCAATTGGGAAAAGGAAAGTCAGACAACTAACATTTGTTGGGCCTTTCTGACAACCCTGTTCTACATGTGGTGCAACATGCTGTCTCACCAATGATTTGGAATGACACTGCGGCATCATTCCAATGAAATGCATGAAGAAAATCGACACTGGTTAACTAAGGTGTGAAAACCGGATACCTGGTAGATGTCAGGAAAGATGCAAACCCACTCATTTTCATTGCTTTTCCCAAGAAACTAAGCACTGCGCAGTGCCATCCCAGCCCTAACACAACTGCACCCTTGGTCCTCAGCCCAACATCACCTCATTAGCCTTCTCTCAGCCGGGATCTTCCCCACTGCACTGCCACTGCCCTAAGGCAATTCTTCGGGGGCCTCCCCTTCTGCTGATCCAGTCTTCACTCATAGGCCAGACTGGGCCAGAACCCCAGTTCTTGTCAATGTAGAGTTTTATTGGAATATATTCCTATCTACCATCTACATATCGTTTTTGTCTGTATCTATATTTAGTGTGTTTGACAGAGATTCCTGGGACCCACAAACCTGAAAGTGTCTACCCACTGGCTAGCGTTGTGCTATTTAGCAGATAAAAATATAGGATGCTGGGTTAAATCTCAATCTCAGGTAAGCAATGAGTAGAGAGAGCACCACTGCGTGGATCCTGTGTACTCTGAAAATCGATTCATGTTGTCTGAACATTTGCAAACCCACTGTTATTTCATAGAGATGCTGTATTTGCAGTTGCCTCTTCCCTGACATTTCCGGTTCCATGTAAGCCCTGAGTCAACACTTCCAGTATTCACATGGTCATTTGTAGACACAGAAATTGTCACACATAATGCTCCCAGCTAAGCCTGGACCTGGTCATGTTTTGCTTGTTCCTTGCAGTTCTCTTGCTACAGTGCCATGATTCTTCATTTTTTATTTTATTTTTTGAGATATGATTTCACCGTGTAGTCTACTTTGGACTTGAATTTGCTAAGTTGCCCAGACTAGCCTCAAACTCATGATCCTCCTGTCTCAGCCTCCTGGATGTTGAAATTACACGTGTGTACCATCAGATTTGTTTCCCAGTTTTGTCTTTTGGGGAGGTGACTTTTATTGTTGTTATTAAAAATGCCCCCTTCTCCAGCCTGGCGTGGTGGCTCATGCCTGTAATCCCAGCACTCGGGAGGCTGAGGCAGGAGGATTGTTGTGAGTTCAAGACCAGCCTGGGCTACAAAGTAAGCTTAAGGCCAGCCTGAACTGCACAGCAAGACCCTGTTTCAAAAAGAAAAAAAAAATGCTCCCTTTTCACAGTGCTGATACACTGTCCAGTGCTTCTATTGCACAGAAGCCTATAACATTCTTTATGCAGAAAATACGTAGGTTATATGCAAAGCAACACTGTAAATTAAATCGGTTGCCTTCCTACAGCAACATGAATAAAACCTGGTTCTGCATTGAGGACTTGAATGTCTGCAAAGGGACTGGCAGGAGTCTAAGCCTGTATTCCCCAGAGCACGGGCTCTAGCATTGCTAAGTCAGTGTTCATCAGGACTTTTATAACATAAATCCTGTGAATAAGAATCGACCGTATCTAAAAATAAAATTAACATTGAAATGGGTTTCTTTCCTTTTATGTGGCAATTCCATTTGTATAGCTCTGCACAGACAAGTTCACAGCTCTTATTAATGACCTTCTCCTACAAACCCAGTTCTGTCTTCAGGGCCTCCCAGTTAGCACAGCACGAGGGGCCGGCAGGATCCAACATACTCGCCCTCCTTCCAGGGAGAAGGAAGAGGGTATCCGGCTGCCCCTGAAGGTGCCAGGGCCCTTGCACTGCTCACATGCCTGATGCTGCCTCGATGGCAACCTCAGCCTCAGCTCGTGCAGCAGCCCGGTTCAATGTGGGAAGGGATCCTGTAGCCCAGGAGTGAGACTCATTGTCAGAGTGTGGAGATGCCAATCCAGCCTCTCGCTGGCTGTTGTTCCCTTTCAGAGAAATGCCAAGGACCGTGCAATACTTCCTCCAACTGCAGCCTGCCCTGTGCTAAGCCCTTCCATGGAGAAATTGGATATATATGTCACCAAAAAATGTGGCAAAAGTCAACGGAGACATGCACAAGCCTTTCGCTGGAGACACTTTTCAAGGAGGTACATTTGTATATTATTGGATAAGGGCTAATCTACTGTGAAATGGTAGGCACATTTTTAATGTCATCTCTTCAGCAAGACAGTAAGTTCACTTGGTGTCTTGTGCTGCTATCATTACTCAACTCTCAGGGACTCTTTCTTCTCCCAACTCTATTTTGTCCTCTCAGCATTTTTTTTTTCCCATAAAAAGATTTGAAACTTATTTACACTTCAGCGTAAATGAGTGCTTGGAGATTAAGCCTTAAGCTTTAAAAGTGAGTTTGTGTGCTCCTTGTGCTAATTAGTTTTTCAGCTGAATATGTCTAGAAGTAAATTAAACTGGATATCATTTTCTGATCCTTTCCATCCCTTGATCATGAGAAAGGTGAGCTGTGTGATCTGGAAAGAATAAAAATCCAGTGCATATCATACATCTTAGTTAGAATTCAAACCTTTTATTTTATGTCTCTCCTTCTTCTTAGCTACCTTTTCTTCCTGTTTTCTTCACAGGCATATTGAAGCACAGGAATGTTTGTACTCGCTGTAATTTTGACAGAGGCTTTGTGAAGGGATTGAAAGTGGTGCCTTTCACTTAGATAGGGTATCACTAAGATAGTCTTATGGCTATTTGGCATCCAAAAGTGAGTCAGGGGAGGTAAATTACTGTTTGCCTTACTCAAGGTCATATTCCAAGAAATGCAGGGGAAGTATCAGGAAGTGAGTGTGCAACTTGTAGCTAGTGAATTTCAACTTTACCAATGCAATTCCTTAATCTTTGGCATTTGAAGCACCAAATCCCAAGAATAGTTCTCCTTTGAAATGCCACCAGGCTCCTCTTTCCCCTATTTCTGGAAAATGGACCAGTTTTCACAATGTTGAGTAGAAGCCACTGTCCTGAGAGCAGATAGAAATAGGAAAGTTCAGGATCTGAGTGCAGGGGGGATTTGGGTGGACCCCCTGCCCTCCAGGTCCTCTACTTAGCATCTCTGCTTCTCCACCCTGAGCCCCCCACCCCATTAGCACCATGTCCTTCTCCATCAGTGTCCCCACATGGATTGCCGGTGGCTTTCATTCCTTAAAGTCTGACACACGTTAGGTACTCAGTCATTTCAAATGAAACTTTTATTCACACAGGACTCAAACGCTGCTTCACGCCTTTCATTAGCATCGGTCTCCATCCCTCTACACATTCTTGACCTCCCAGCTCCAAAGCCCGTGGAGAGTGTCACTCAAGGGATCCGTAAGAACTGTCCCCTTGACTTTGCCTGCATAATCAATCCCGTGAAGTCATCCGAAGCCACATCCGGAAATATTGCCTTTGTAGTAGAGTTATTAAGAAATATTTCCACACAACTGTCTGATGAAGTGACTCGAGAGAAAATGAAGGTACTTACGTTAATTTCATTTGCTACCAACAACTCTGTTTTAAAATATTGCACTTTTCTGATTTCAAATGTACTTTTCAAGGTAAAAATAACAACCACCATAGGAACAGCAATAGCTATTGCTCTTTGATTTATGTATACTGATTCATTCTGCCATGTGGAAGTTCTCAAGACGTTAGGATATTTTTAAGCTACGCTGCCTACCATGAGCAAGATTGAGTCTACTCAAACAGCTCCAAAACTATTCACTATAGCACAGCTGTTCTGAAAGTTGTTAATGGAGATTACTTTTTCCAAGGGTGACCTGCAGCTCAGCAATTGTGGGAACGACTAGGTAAACAAAGTCAAGCAGATTTCCTTACAACACAACTTTGTCGAGCCTGTTATGTGTTCCTGAAAGTTGGTAGTTGGTGTAACAGGGAGGGAGACACAGTACGGATGCAGCATTTCTCAAACCTAGATCACCATGAAATTCACTACGTTAATTTGGCAATGGGGAAATTCTGTGTTTGGTACAGTACTAAAGCAGGCATTCTTTCACTTTCTTTCCCCAAGTGCAGCCTTACTAATGTGAAATTCTACTGCACTGGGAGTCTACAGTAAGATCAGATAATTAGATCTTCAGAAATTTCTGACATTAGAAATTGATTTTGTGCAATTCGGGACTTGTCTCCCTTGCAGAGCTACAGTACAGTGGCCAACCACATCCTCAGTCCAGCTGCTCTTTCCAATTGGACTTTTGTTCCTGACAAGAAAGCGAGCTCAGATTTATTACACTCAGTGAATTCCTTTGCCAGGGAACTCGGCATCCACGATCAGTCTGAGACCATTGTGGACGAGCTCTTCATTCAGACCAAAGGCTTTCACATCCATCACAATGCCTCAGGGAAATGTTTGAATTTCTCCATGAGCATGAATAATGGCACAGAAGGCATCTCAGGAACAGTAGAAATTCCCCAGCAGGAGATTCAGAAACTACCAAGTTCATCCCAAGCCATCGGTATAGCGTTCCCCACATTGGGAGCCATTCTGAAAGAGACCCATGTACCAGATGGGGGCCTGTCCAGAACCCCCAATGGTCTGGTTCTGTCAGTTGTGTTGCCAGAAAGGCTGAGAGAAATCCTACTCACTTTTGAGAAAATCAATAAATCCCAGAATGCCAAAGCACAGTGTGTGGGCTGGCACTCCAGGAAGAGTGCTTGGGATAAGACAGCATGCAAAACCATGTTGGATGCTGGGAGTGCGGTGCAATGCCGCTGTAACTGCACCAGCATGATAAAGTCTTTTTCCATCCTGATGTCCCCACAGTTGGTGGGGGACAAAGTCCTGGACTACATCACTTGCATAGGGCTCAGCATCTCCATCCTCAGCTTGGTTTTCTGCCTGATCATTGAAGCCACAGTTTGGCCCCGTGTGGCTGTGACAGAGATGTCACACATGCGGCATGTGTGCCTCGTGAACATAGCCGTGTGTCTCTTGGCCGCTAATGTGTGGTTCATCACTGGCTCCAACTTCAATGTCAAGGCCAAGAGTTACAACTGGTGTGTCGTGGTGACGTTCTTCAGCCACTTTTTCTACCTCTCTCTGTTCTTCTGGATGCTCTTTAAGGCACTGCTCATCCTCTATGGAATCCTGGTGGTTTTCCGGAGAATGATGAAGTCCCGCATGATAGCCATTGGCTTTGCTGTTGGCTATGGATGCCCCTTGGTCATAGCTGCCACCACAGTAGCTATCACAGAGCCAGAGAAAAGCTATGTGAGACAGGACGTGTGCTGGCTGAACTGGGACGTGAGCAAAGCCCTGCTTGCGTTCGCCATCCCAGCCTTGGTCATCGTGACTGTGAACCTCGCTGTGGTCTTCGTTGTTGCTTGCAACACACAGAGGCCTTCTATCGGCAGTTCCAGCTCTCAGGATATGGCCATCATCATGAGGATCAGCAAAAACGTTGTAATCCTCACCCCACTTCTGGGACTCACCTGGGGGTTTGGAATAGCCACTCTCATCGAAGGCACATCTGTGATTTTCCACATCATCTTTGCTCTCCTCAATGCTTTCCAGGTAAGCCCCGTGTATAACTCTGCAGACAGCAAAAGCTACTGCCACCTGAAGCCGTAGAACCCAAAATGCTCCTCCCTTAACTTAAGCTGTGGCCTTTCTCACCCTGCTGATTGTCAAGTTGGATTTGGCTGATCAGGCCTGTCCAGTGGGAATGCCCTTCTCCCCTCTCTGATCTGCCCATATCCTTCCAAAATGTCAATGTCAGAAGATGGCATTCTTGCTAAGAGGACTCCTCACTGGCCACCAGTGTTATGCTTCAAAATAAGCACAATTTTGTGGGGTTTTTTTCCCCAGTGGTTTGGACCCTAGGTAAAATAGCCAGTTTCTATGGTGTGAGAAGAAAGCTGGTGGCAATCACTTTGGATATATACCAATCAGTAATTCTCATGCCTCTTTCTTGCTATTCCCTAGGAAATAAATGTAATTTGTTACTGATAGAACTGGATTTTGTCATCTGCTTTCTACTCGCAGAAAGGTTACTTTTCTCTGGGTCTTAAGTTTCTCATGTGTAAATTATGGATACAAATCTAAAGTGATCTCTGTTGTGTGTTCTCTCTCTCACATAGTTGGTTTCATGAGAGTGTTCATTCTAAAGTTGTTTTACCCCCTCTTGCAAGTAAACTTGTACTTTTGAAAAGCTATCATTAGCCAAATTGCTCTCTATACCTATGAGTAATAGAACAGTTACCAGGTCCACAGTCTTAGCCATGCTTTTAATCAGGGGCTGGCAAACAGTGACCTGCCTCCTGTTTTTGTAAATAAGCCTTTACTGGACACAGACATGCTCATTTCCTTGCATCTTTTTCGTCTGCTGCTGAGCTACAACGACACACTGGAGTCACTGTGCCAGACTGTGCAACCGCAAAGACGGTAAAATATTTACTGTCTGCTTCTTTTCAGGAAAAGACTGACCACTGCTTTAAATTATATACATACAAGCACTTGATAAAGCAGCAGGGTATCTCTGTTAACATGTCATTATTACTCCACCTAAAGGCAAGGTACAAGAAGATAAAATGGACTTTAAGAGATTTGCAGCTCAGGTTCCACACATTTAACTCATAACTCTTTCGTGACTACACAGAAGATTGCTTTTGTTCTTTCTGTTGCATTGCCTTAGAGAGAAACCTTTGATGACATCTATTTTCTTTCTTTCCTTCCTTCCTTCTTTCTTTCTGTTTTTGTAAAATAGAAAGATCAAATAACTTTTCCCACTCTTGAAGTTACTCAGTGACTAATGAATTCATTGTCTTTCTTATGTCACACTTAAGTTAAACTGCAAGAATTTTTTTCTGTATTTCTTTTTCAGAACATATGTATTTCTCTCTTTTTTTTCCCTCTAGAAGAAAGCAAAATACTCAGTACTTTTAGTTATGCATAATCCTTTTTTCTCAGCAAAATTTCCCCATGATTTATATTTAACAATCTAGTGACCTCATGACTGTTTCTTCGACATGAAACTACCTTGGATGTTGAGAGACTCTCTAGGCTTCCCATGTCTTTAAACTTTCTCTTATATAGAACCTTCTCCCTCCAGCCCAGAGTCCACGGTTTTACATATACTGAATGTTAACTCAGGCTTCATTTCTTAAGATAACTTCAACGCTTGTGATTTTGAATTATAAGCTTCCACGTTACGTATAGCTGTCATCATAAGAATAGCTACTTTAATATTTGGGAAATATGTAAAAACATTTAATAAGGTTGACAATTTTATTGTACATGAGTACACACCAGCACTCTTCAAGCACACTCCTGTGAGGCTGGCTGTCACCCAAGGAGGGTGATTCAAAGGAAATTCCCATCTGCCTCTATGCAGAATGGTTTCTGATGTTCCGTGACTTCCCTATAATTTATCTGCAAGGCTGATGTGCAAGGAACACCGGGATATTGCTTGAGAGCTGTTCCTCACGATTTTGTTGCATTTACTCCAGGGTTTCTTCATCTTGCTGTTTGGAACCATCATGGACCACAAGGTAATTTGACTTTGCTTCATTCATTGGAATATGGCTGAAGATAGGCGGGAGGATGAGGTAGTTTGGATGGGAGAGCACGGTCCAGGGCCCTTGGGCTTGTGAGGATAGCACAGAACGTCTGGTGCTAGGAGAACAGGCGAGGCTTCCCCTCTCCTGTGTTTGGATCTTCATCCAGTCTTTCAGGAGCTGTGTGAGACTTGCTGAGTCATAGAACAGAACGAGACCATCGTTCCCATTTTAATACTAACTCTCGCTGTCATTGTGCTCTAACTTTTGCTCAGGTGTCCTTATTCTCTGAGTGTGTGCCCCCTCTGACTTTGGTTTTGCCAGGGTCACTGATCTCAAGGTCTCAGGTCTTGGGTCTGAGCCTGGAGAACCCTGGAGACATTGGTAAGATCAAATTCTCTCTCACTGCTTTTCAGATAAGACACGCCTTGAGGATGCGGGTGTGTTCACTGAAGGGGAGCTCCGGGCAGCAGAGGTAAGCACTGCTCTGAGGCACAGCCCTGGTATTTAGGGTCCTCCTTAACCATGTGGGTAGCAGGGTGTCACTTAGTTCTCAGGATTCATCAGCAATGAGAGTCAACAGGGGACATTTCATTTTTTTCTTGCATCTTATAAATTTGAAATATCTTATTTGAAATTAAAAGTTCTAAGAATATGTACTTTGAGAGAATTTTGCATATTAAATATATTTGAACTCCACCTTTGGACCCATAAGATGGAACCACATGGATTTAAGACCATAGATTTATAAAAGATGAGAGGTGGCAAATGAGTGTTGAGTTAGAAATGAAATCCAGTCCAACTCACTGATTTTGCAGAGATGGAATGCCCACAGCATTTACAGGATGTGCCCAAGGTCACCTAGCTAATCAGGGGCAAAATCAGAGTGAGAACCAACTGTCACAGAAACCTCTCCCCACTCTCCTTGTGCAAAACTCTTTCCAGCAGGGGACCCTGTTTTTTTGGAAAATCCATGTATTTATAAATCTTGAAGGAGACTTTTGACCTGGCTACTTGTCTTTTAAGGTATCAACCAATATTGCCTACTTTTCTGTATTATTTAGAAGTAATTTTTTAACCAATAGATTCTCAAAACAATTTCTGTCGAAACAGTCTGGATACAACGAGAACCAGCATTCTTAGTTAGCTAGGACTCTGTGACTTTTAGTACCACAGTTCGTCAATTTTAACCTTGACATTTTCTTCACATTTTAACATTTCTTAAATTGAAATGTATCTTACAAACAATAAACTCTTATCATGGTCTAACTGGCAAGTTTTGCTTCTTTTTATTTTTTAAGTTGTTTAGCACAATATATACATAATCATGTAGCTTACAAGGTTACATTTAGTGAAATATGATCATTTAGTTTTTTGTACAATTGTCAGTTTGGGTGCTTTCTCTTTAGATCTTTATTTCCCCATGTTTATCTCTAGAAAGGCTATGCATAAGTATAAATACACATTCTTTTCCATCAATACCATTACTCATCGTGTCATTCTTCCCCATTTAGAATGCGCCATTAAATTTAACCAATGGATCTCAGTTAATGAATCATTGAAGACAAAATGTGAGTATTCAAACCTCAAGGAAAACCTTCTCTTGCAAGTTGTAATCAGCCACTTGGGCCCCTGTGAATGCCCCACTGATACCATGTGAGCTGGTGGGGAGGAGGGGATGAGGAGCTCACCTTTCATGAAGCACAAATGAGTGCCCTGCACCTGAATGAGTCTGTGTGCACTTTTCTTAAGTCCCCTGAGCTTGCTTGGGTAGATTTAAGCACACCAGCACTTTCTGCCCTCTGTGGGAGGATGAGGGCAGACACAGCCCAAGGTCTGCCCTGCTCACGTGTGTTAATTCGACCTTGTCAGCCAGTGGAGCAGTTTAGCAGACCCATCAAGGAGAAGGAAGACTTGATTGACTGAAAGACAAAGCAAGAGGCCTGTATCTCCCTAAGGAAGTGGGGCTCAGAATCACTCCTGAGATTATGTGGATACCCACTCATACCCCAATCTGAGACCAGGGGGAAGAAGCTGTTAGGCAGCCATGGAGGGGAGACTGAGTCACAGAATGACAGCCAGAGCCTGCAAGGTGGCAGAGAATGTGGGCAGGGAGAACCAGGCTTGGGCATGGTTTGCCTGCAGCCATGCTACGGCTTTTACATATGGAACACGTGAGTGTCAGAGTTTTTTTAAAACACACTCATCTTTTACATTCCTCTCCTCTCTGAGCCAGAAAGTGGTTTTGGGTGTAGGATCAAACAATCTGCTGGAACCCAAAATACTGTGACTTGGACCTTCTGTGTTCCAGAGCTTATAAACCCGACCCTGAGCTGGGCTAAGACACTGAGTAAGAGGCATAGAGAGAGGGAGGAGAAGAGAGCTGTCACCAACCCTGACTGTGTGGGGAGGAGGTGAGAAATGAGGAGAGGAAAATGCTGGTACCCTTAAGTAAGTGTGCTTCCATCTGGATTTTTACAGCAGGACTTTAAAAGGGCAACTCCCATATCCTCTGAGCATTTCCCATCCCATTAGCTTCCCCCATGAAGGGGCATCTATGACAGCTTGTGGTTTGTCACCAAGGGACCCGCTTCTTCAGTAGGTGTACTAAAGCACAACTGGCTTTTCTACCAAGGTCTCATTTGACAACAGTCTGCTTTAGGGTTACCACACTGTGCCAGGTGGCCTGCCCCTCTCCCTGGGGATACCTGCTCTAGCTGCTCTAGAGAGGTATGGTGGGCACCTTCTTTGCAGCTGGTTGGGAATGTGTGGTCAGCCATGGTAAAAACCAGAGAAAACCAGCAGAAGCCAAGATCAGGGACTGTACTGCCCCTGAAGTTGGAGAGGTTGATGAACGATAGGCTGGGGGAATCCCCAGAGAAGGAGAGGCAAAAAGGAGGGATGTGGGGTCCTCTCCACAGTTCTCCTTCAGCTTCTTTTTTGGAGTCTCCAGGTGAATGGTGAACTGAGTGTTCTTTAGGACATTAAGGGACTCCTTGGCCCACTTTCCTACTGAATTTCCTCAGCACCTGGGGCTGATGGTTTTACATGTGACACCACTGGTGTCAGAGGGCTCTGCGCTAACACCCGGCAATGTGGAAGACTGGGCAGGGGACTCCACAACCATCAGAGTGCAGAGACAGGACATCCCTTATTCCTGGGGAGGCTACTGCACTCATAAGAAGATGACCCTTCAGAGAGACTCAGTCTGCATCACTTGCCATGGTCAGGGATACCAGGAAGCCTCCTGCATCTCCAAAACACCTTCACCCACTTGTTAATGTCTTAAATTAATGTAAGATGGCTCAGAATTCATAGTGACAATGAGATGGCTGAGCAGCCACCCCAGAGGAGCAACACGATATGTGCTGTGAGGCTGTGGATTCAGGGCAGTGTTGTTCTGGAGACCATGGACAGCCCAGGGAGAGGAGGAAGGGCTGTGGGCACCAATGCAGGGGCAGGGGCAGCACAGAGAAGCAGAGGGGACAGAGAGCAGAGCTAGAGGGCAGGTTCCTACCATAGCTCAGAGCCTCTTCCCACATTTAGGTATGGGATAAAGAGCCTGTGACCTCCCAGGGGCTTCAGGATTAAAGGAATGGATGGCCTAGGCTGGAACTAAGCTGTCGAATGTCAGCTTCTTATTACCAATGGTGTTCTTACCCCTCTGCCCAGATGTCTGTTCTCCGAGGCCTGCATCCTGAGAGACAGGCGAGCTCCAGGAGAAGTGGCCTGTGAAAGGAAGGCTGGAACAAAAGCAAGGTGACTGCCCTGCTTCCATGGAGGGCATCTTCCTCGTTCTGCTGGAAGTGACACCTCAGAACACACACAGGGAGGATGACATCTGAGTGCCAGGCATAGCAAGACTGCTCTGCTGACCTGTGAACTTTCCTGGAACTGCAGAGGACTGGATCCTGTCACCTCATCAAGATCACGAATAGACCTACACAGCCTGCTGAGGCCTCCATGGAAGCTGGGTCTCTTTCACTCTCAAGGCTGCTATGGCTCCGTGGTTCCCTCATCCCTCCCTCTGCATGCATCCTGGTACTTGGGGACAGGTTACGTCCAATTTCCAGGGGTAGGGGTGGAGGATGGGTCAGCTAGAGGATGCCCCCAAATAGATTCAGAAAATGTTTGTGAATCTATTTGGGGGCAGTTTATTCATGGTAGGTTTCCTAACAACAGGAAACAGAAGGTAACAGAACTAGCCTAAGTATTTATTATTTTATTCTATTTTAGATCTTGGGTAAAATAATTTATCTTCTAGGATCTTAGTTTCCTTGTTTGTGCAACAGGTGAAATATTCTTGCAGGTGTAACTATTTGTGTGTACCTGTATGCACACAAGCACGCATACACGTGTCTGTCTTTTTAAACCACTATATATAGAATTGTATTTTAGAGATAAAAATGAATAAATTTATCTTTCACAACTTGTGTGTGAGTCCATTTAAGATGGGCTTCTGTTCTGTAGCCTTACATTCTTAGTACCAGCCCTGTTACTAATCCCCCTCCACTCACTGCTAGGTCCCCGGTAGTGGGCGTTGGGGACTCTCTTGTCACAGTTCTCAAGGTGGGGCCTGAGATTTTTGGTAAAGGACACCACCCTACACTGGCTTTCAGAAGTTCTCAATGAAATGCCTGGTGCTAACTTAGTCTAAGGTGGTGAGGTAGCCCCCAGGGCTGAAGCTGCCCACGTGGGTGGGAGTGGAACAATCATTCAGGTCTGAAACCATAGAAGCCTTGTGTGTCAAGAACAACCAAGAAACTCTCTGAGCCCTCTTACAGGGGTGCAGCCAACAGAAACAAGAAAAGCATTGGTTTCCAAACAAATAGTAATTATTCAAAGGATGAGAAATGTCACTCAACTGCCCAGTAGTCTTTTCCAGTGTTATTAAAATAAAGTGCTCAAAATAGAGACAGAAGGGTACCTTCCAGAGCTATGAAACTTCCTAGGCATTAATTTATTGATTACATTTCCTTCCTGAGTCTCGATTCTAGGCAAATGACATTTCTCTCAGTCCAGAAATCTCAGAGCATTATGTAATTCTAAGCCAAACAATTGCCTTGCGTTTGGTAGAGTTACTCAGTTGAATTTATAATTTACTACTCTGTTGCTGTTGCTGTCCTTTCTCTTCTCCCTGAGCACTCTGTCTTTTCAGCACACACTAGCAGAAGTACGGTGCTAGGGCCTTCAGCTCTGCAGACACCCCACACAGCATTTCCAACCGTCCCCTTGCTGTGCAAAATCAGCAGTGGAGACCACAGAGCTTGTGAAGGAAAAGACTGAGGATAAGACATGCCGAGATTGGTTGATCACTAATAAAAAAAGAAATACAGAAATACTGTAGTGAATGTGATAAGAACTTGAAGGCCGCTCTTGTAAGTATCTTTGGAAAAGGTTGCAACTTGTTTGGAAATCACCAGAAAGCTGCAGTGGCTTGCAACGGGTGAATGGAGGCAGCCTGCAGTGTGTGCCTGTGGTCTGTACGTCAAAGAGCTTTGGTCTAAGTATGTATTTTGTGTCTTTCTCTGCAGCTTGGTCCACGAAAGTATCTTTTTCTCCAATCATCTAATGTTTTTTTTTGGTAGTGTAATGGCAAGCAGAAACATCAAAATGATCCCCAGGATTTGGAAGCAGATTTATTTATGTTGTCAGGGACTGATCAGGAACACTCCCAAAATATGAGTCCCTGATCTCTGGTGTTCTAGGGCTTATGTTGGATAAGTAAGCAGGAAGTACAAAGGCTTGTCAGTTGGAGATTGGTTCATACAAAGTGCATCATAGTGACCAGCTACGCATCCCAGTGATCAGATGTTTCTAAGAGACCAGAAGCAACCGGAACTGGAACAGGATATGGTACATGGGCTACTAAGAAAATGAAGTATTTTGGATGAGGGGTGGATTTTCTGTCACAGTAACTACACATAAGCAAACATGAAATCGTGTTTTATGTTCAAGTTATTCACTAATATATTCACCCAGTTAGAACAACTTCTGCTTCTCAGAAGAAGCCTTATAGCAAGACCGACCATGTGTCTTGGAGCTACCTTGAGAATATCAGTTCTTAGCACCACACTAGGTTTGAACCCTAACCCTAACCCTAACCGTAACCCTAACCCTAACCCTAACCCCAAATCACCTGATACACTTCTAAAAACAGAGGCTGAGCTGTATCTTTAGAGATTCTGATTCAGTTTGCCCTTGATGGAAAAACACAAACAAAACTTTGTAGGTAACAAAACAAACAGAGGAATTAAACCCCTCTTGCTTGGTAATTTTAATTCAAGAAAATATTTGTTGGTTTCTTGCTATATGCCTCTACTTTGAAAGGTAAAGGTGGAGAAAGAACAGCTTTTATATCTTTTGCTTGGGACCAAACTTCTGTCCATGAAAGAGATGACACACCCTAAAACATGTCAGTCTGTCAAACTTCTACCCAGAGGCTTGGAGTTATGAATGATCTGAGACATTGATGTGGCCAGGAGTGCTGAGGGATGGTGGGACCAGAAAGGTGGGACCATGGCTCAATGTAGGCACAGATGTCAGGGCTTTATGTTAGGCAGGGAGAGAAGTTAGCACTTCAGGATGGGAAGTAAGACCAGAGAAGGAGCCATGGGGGATTATGAAAGGGACAGCCTAACCCAAGCTGGGAGCTGCATTCACTGCTGGTAAAATTTGTCTGATTAGAAAGCCCAGGATACCTGGTAGAGTTGGGCTTGCTCTAATGCATCAGAGACAAGATGGTAAATAGTACCACACTGCTTTATGCTTAGGAGAAAACAGATCAACCACGTGAAGCCAGGCAGAGAAAAGCAGAGGGTTACTGCTTGGGGCCTTGATAACTCTTACTCTGACCTGGCATTTGGAGGCTCGGCTTGAAGATACACTTTATTCCCACGAGTTTCTTCTTCCTGTCAATTGTCATCTTGTATAGTGGTGGATCTGGCCCTGTCTGACCTTTTAATAACAAGTATATTTCCAGCTGCACCCCATAGCAAGGTGAATTTAATCATCTCTTCCCACCCTCTCATGTTCTCCTAAGAAGCATAGCTGAAAGTCTGAATTACAATCAGAAGGGGCAGATTTACACGGTGTTTCTTTGCTAAGCCAGCTTTTCAGGAGATAGCAGTCAGCCCAGAGAGTAGGGAACTGGTTTGGGAGGAGCTTCAGATGCTTTTGGAGGCAGTCATGTGCGATACCACTAAAAGAGGCAGGCAGAGGGTAGAACTGACATCTGCCCATTTCCCACACCTTCTAGGAGGAGCTGGCTAAGCCTCAGGAGTTCTCTGTGTATGAATTGGAAAAGGAGAGAAGCCTGATTAAAAAAAAAAAAAAAAGATTGTGGGAACTCCCCGCACAGGAAATGAGTAGTTGTGTACAGAAAAGAATTGTCTTGCTTTATGATAAAAGGTATTCACCTGGACACATGATGGGGTGTGAAGCTAGGGACAGGGAACATCCACATCTTTAGGCCCTGGGGACGTGGGGAAGGTGGGTGTAGGTTAGGGCTGTAATCTGTAATTCTGTTCCTATGTAAGCACCATGAGCCACAGGAAGCCAGGACGTGGGGACAGGCAGTTGTATATTTTAATTTTGTATCTTTCACACTTGAATGTGTGGTTTGGGCAAGTTACTTAGCCCCTTAGATCTATACCTTGCTTATGGCAGTTCCAGTCCCTTCCGGGCTGAGTACCTGTGTGCTCCCTATGGGGTAACCCTAGGTAAGAAGGTTCAGCTCAGCATCAGCTTCCTCTGCAGAGGTCTCAGAATGAGACTTTTCATCTCACACCTTGCTGCTGCTACATAGCTCTACCACTTAGGGGAGGAAATAGAGGGGCCTAAAAAAAGGTACACTGGGTTCAGCCGTGTACACCTTTGGTCTCAGCTCCGGGGGAGGCAGAGACAGCATTGCTTGAGCCCAGAGTTCTTGGTCACCTAGGAAAACAGAGTGAGACCCTGCGTCTTAAATAAAGTCCTCCCCAGTACTGTTGAAATGAGCTTATTTATTATTTTACATTTTAATTAGCATACATAACAAAGATCATTGATATGTAAGGATTTTCTTCCACTTTAGACACTAGAGAACTCTAGCCAAGGTGATGTAATTTCAGCTTCAGGATCAACTTTGCCTTGCGATCTAGATTTACTCCTGACTCAGCTTCTTCTCAGCTGCTTCAATATCTAATTAAATTCAACAGTTTTCTTGGTCACGTGTCTTAGTTGTAGGAACTGGGCTTTCAAATTCCTTCTGGAACTGACTTCCCACTTTGGATCAGCTTTGTTAATAATGCTATGCTATTTATTGATACATGGTTTGATTTTAGGTTCAAATACATTTGATTAAACTACCATATGCTTTCAGTAGTGTTTCAAAACAAACTCACTGATTTAATATTCATTGGCAATCTACTCTGGGCTTGTAACTGTGAGTAAACTAGTCCCTGACCTCAAGGAACCTGCAGTCAAAGAAGGAGAGAAACAATTAAATGGGAAATACCAATGTCAGATGACTGTAAAATGTTATCTAAATCAGCCAGTTTATCCTACCAGCACAGGAATTTTTTGAGGGAGACATTATAATTTCCATTTTATAGGTTGGTCTGGGTCACATAGGAGGGGGAAGATTCAGATTTATAGTACAACTCAGCCAAACTTTGTTGTACTATTAATCCTCATTTTGTGCTGTGCTGTGTCTAAATACAGCTTGTCAAGGTACACACAGTCAGAAATTTTTGCTGGGATTATATTGAATTTGTAGAGAAAGTGTCTTTGCAAAATCCTGTCTTTAAATTCATCAACATAGTTTGCTTATCCTTCCATGTTAGTCTTTCATTTAATGAACATTGTTTAATTTCTCTGCATGTTCTGCAGTGTGTGTGTCCCGCATTCATTACATTAAACTCAGTTTTAGATATTTTGTTTACTAAATTTTTTTGCAAACACAAATTAAAACTTTTTATTGTATTTCTAGAATCAGAGCATAAATCTAGGTATCAAATCATTCCTATTCTCTGTCATTTTTTTCTCTTAAAAATTTTTTTTTGGGGCTGGGGGTTTAGCTCAAGTGGCGTAAGTACCTGCATGGCAAACGTGAGGTCTTGAGTTCGATCCCCAGTACAAAAAAAATTATTTTAAAAAAGCAAAACAGAAAAAAAATACAGAAATGACACAGAATTTCAATGATACAGAATTTAAAAGATAGTGGAGCATTAACCTAATTAATATATTGCATATTGTTATCTGAGAAGTATTACAAGATTTAAAAGGAGAGAAGGATTTAAAAGGAGTATTACAGGATTTAAAAGTATTACAGTATCTAAAAGCAGAGACGGAAGAAGGGAAACATTATGTGCATATATGTCTATATCTCTATCTATATCTATCTATCTATCTATCTATCTATCTATCTATCTATCTATCTATGATAGA